TAAGGAAATAGACTATATTTAGATACTATAACTTTATAGTTAATAAGATAATTAAATATAATCTAAATAACCTATTTATTAAGGTTACTTTATAGATAATATTATCTAAACTACTTATAAACTTATTAATATTATTAATAAATAAGCTAATTAAAGCTAATAATCTTATAAGTATTAATAATAAAGATATATATTAGAGATTAAATACCTAAGAGTAGGATACTATTATATAAATAATTAAATAAAATATACTTAATATAGAATTCTTTAAGAAAGGCTATTATAGACTCTTTAAGAATAATAATAATAAATAAATAGACTACTAGGAAATAATAACTATCTTATAGATAATAATACTAGAATAAATATTAATATTATAGACTATATATATAATAGTAGTAATATTAAGTTTACTATAATAATTATAAATAGTAATAAAATAATTAGATAAGTAATTAAATAAGTAACTATAGGGTACTTTAATAATAATATAAATATTAGATATCTTATTTATAAAGAAAGATTAAGAATTAGATAATATAGAGTATTATAAAATAAGACTAAGTCTAGATATTAAAAATATAATCTAGGGATAATAAACTTATAAAGCTTTAAGATAATATAAAGATAATAATATATATACTATATAGAGACTAGATAGTATATATAATATATTTAGTATATTAATTATAATAAAGCCTAAAGACCTAAAGGCTTTAAGTATAAATAAATAGCTATATTAAAGCTAGATGCCACTACCCCTAAATAACTAAAAAAAGATACTTAAGTATTAATATAAAAACTAATTTATTAAGGCTATAATAATTAAATATAATAGTCTATCTAAATATAAAATATTTTAAACTATTAAATAATTAAATAATACTATAATTATCTTACTCTAATAAGTATTCACCTATAAATTTAATTTAGATAGTTACTTAATAAAGTTTAAAGTATAATTATATATATAAAGAGACTTATAGCCTTTTTTAATATAAAAAATATAAGCTATAATACTTATAGTATAAATATTCTAGATATTAATATTATTAATTATTATATTTAATCTAAAGATATACTAATAAAATATAGTTAATATATTTATTAATAGTCTATTAAATAAGATAATTTATATAGATATATCTTTTAGATTTATATAGAATAATAAAGCCCTCTTATTAATATAAGCCTTATATAAGTTATAAAGATTATTAAAGTTATAGTAAAAGAATTTAATTATAACTTTTAAAATATTAAGATTAAAGTTATTTAAAGATCTTTACCTCTTTATAAATAATAAGCTTACTTTATTAATATATATTAATAACTTTATCTTTACTTACTTTAAAGAGGATAAAGTATATATAAATAAATTTAATAAAGTACTAAATAGTATTTATTAAATATATAAGATAAAACTTAAATAGTTTCTTAATATATAGATTTATAAAGACTATATTAACTAAAAGCTTTAATTATATTAAAATATTTATATTATAATAATTATTATAAAGTATAAGCTTCTAGACTATAAACTACTATAGATGCTAGTATTAATTAATTATTTAATTAAAAATATAAAAACTATAATATAAAGTTAAATATAATACTATTAGAAATTAGTAAGATTACTTATTTATATAATAATTATTATAAGAGTAAAATTAGTCTAGATTATAAATAAATTAGGAGAATTCTTATTAAATCTATTAATAAAGTATATTAAAGCTATAGAATAAGTAATTCTATACTTATATAAAATAAGATTCCTAGCTATTTACTATAAATACTTAATAGAGAGCCTTATAAATAATCTATTAATTAACTAAATACTTATAGATTATCTAATATTTATATATATAAATAATATAATATATATAGATAATAATAATTATAAAAGTATATAAGGATATATCTATCTATTATATAGAGGATCTATAGATTAAAAGGTATTAAAATAATAAATTATAATAATATTAACTATAAAGGCTAAATTAACTATAATCTTATATATAAAGAAGGAGCTATTCTAGTAAAAATAACTATTTATATTTATTAAATTTAATATAAAGTATTAATTAAGTATTTTATATAATAAATAGACTATTAACCTACTTATAAAAGAGGTGCTATTTATATATATTAAGCTTTAATATATTAATATCTAATAGCACTAGCTTTACTAGGAGACTTAGGCTAGGATAATATAAATTTAATAAATCTTAATAACTTATATATCTATAAATAGCTTTATAAAAATATTAATAGGCTTATAGTATTAAAAGTTTATTAAGATACTTAATATAAAGGATATTAAGATAATAAAGATAATAATAAAATTAGGATAATACTAGAGAGGTATATTATAGAAAAGGATAACCTTAAGGCTGCTAATTAGGATAATTTATATATATTTACACTATTATTTAATTAGCTAAGCCTAATATAGTTAGCATTATACTTTAATTTTTTATTTACTCAACATATCTGGCCTGACTGACGTCAGATATGCTGGGTAGGGTGCGAATCATATAGGAATATGATACTATTGGCCCTGAATACGTATAGGATTTGTTAAACCATCAATCCCTGGTCGCCGCGGTTTTTGGACAGGGATGGCTGCAGTTAATGACTATCTAATATATAGTGGTCTTAAGAACAACCTATGGAGTAACTAGACAAAAATTAGTGAACTAAGTTTAAAACTGAATTTAAGAACTGATGTTAGACAAATTTCTCCATGTTGTTAGTGGATTATGACAGCTCCGCGTTAAGCAGCGGATCTGGAGGCCAATCTTACAGCTAGAATATCACAATAGAAACCCTTGACAGAGCTTGGAAACATTCATGGAAATAGTATATAGAGTAGGGCATATTAGTCTATATGCTATATAAGTATAAATAATATTTAGCCATACAATCATAAAACACTATCAATAGGATATATAATATTTATGGATTAGAATGCTTTGGTAGTGGCGCAATGTAGTAAATATAATAGCAAGGAAGAAGATAAAAAGAAAGATAATCTAGTTGGTATTAGAGGGTAATTATAATTCTTTCCCCCCTTAAATACCAAGGACTTGACTGATATTAAAATAAAGAAGTGAATATCTATAGCCAGTGAAGTTTCACTTGTAATCAATGCTAGTTTCCCCAATTTCCTTGTCATCTGGTCCCAGAATCTTGAATTTCAGTCTGCCCATATCAGCGAGCAGGTCAAATCCGAGTTTGTATTCCAGTCGCCACATGGTCCTATCACTACTATTTCTTTTTTGTTCAAATCTCAATAGATCGCTCTCCTTGAAGCTGTAGTGGATAGTGCCGACATGGTGACACACTATATAGTTTCAGTAACTCTCCCTAGGTCCAAGTTGACGGTAGGCACTCACATGGCGAGTCATACCACTCCGGGGGCGTATCAGCTGCGCATGTGTAGAGATCAAGTTCAAGATCCAAAGAAGACCCTTTATTGTGCACATGGTAGAGACCCTGGAGAGGCGACTCATCATCTGGGCCAATTGAGTCCCCCTGGGCAGTGTCAGTATTGTTGGCAAAGAAGAAAAAAAGGTATGTTTGGAGTTACCTTGCCGATGACCCAATCGAGACGCGACGTACAATGCTTGTCCCCGTACCATTCACAAATATATGACGCACTTTCAGGATCTATTCCTTCCCGGAATCTCAAACTTGATCTAAAGCCATAGTGAAGCCTGCATTTGCGCTTCTTGGGACGCACGCTCCTCAACCCTCGTAAAGCAGCTCCTTTCACGACACTCGCTTGTCTAAGTCTGATTAGAGGGACTTGGCATATCCAAAAGATGGAATTGAACCTCACGGATTCTCTGGACACATCAAGGTGATTCCCTGTTCTCCACACCAGACTGTAAGAGTGTCATTGAGCCATGGTGAGTCGCCGAATCCTCCCACAAGTATCAACGTCTGTCCAGATGGCCAAGCGTCAGCTTACAGCATGGGTCTATACGACGACGAATGAATATCCATACTTTGATCTTGACAGAAGATTTATGCCGCAGCTGGCGGAGTTGGTCTTTCAAAAGCCGCTTGATCTCGTCGGTGACAGGTTGGAAGAAGGATTTCATATCGGCGCTGTCAATCGTGAGCATATAAGCATATCTTAGGGATTCATGGAGTACACAAGAACCTTGTAAACATCACAACCCCATCTTCAGAATTGTAATTCTCCGAGTCCGTCATGCCTGGCATCACCAGGTCAATCTCAAACGTTTTGTCCATCGTCCCAGAGACTCCAAAGTCACGCTTTTCGGCCTCAAAGTCTTTCATAAAGTGACTCCCTGGGCCCTTTTTCTCGAACTTCATCTTATCAAACGATGACCCAAACTTTGCAGACATCCACTTGTGAAAGTTGCGATCAATATAGGTTGATCCGCATTTCCCTCCAGTTCCCACCAAGAGCTCTTCAAATTCGAGGTTTGGCTGCATATGAGTAACAAGGTAAGTGATGATGTCCACAGTACCACCACCGCAGTCACAGATCAGGAGCCCATCTCCAATGTTGACAGGGTTGCTGTCACTCTTTGAGAAAGAGTTCAAAGTTGATATCGCAGCCGCTTCAGGCTCAGTGATCATGTTGATCTCGTCCATGGGGCGCGAGTCAAAGCCGGCACGGGAAGCGGCCTGGTATGTATCATGTCTGGCCTTGTCTGACCAGATGGCAGGAGTGGTGAACCAGAACTCCAGCGTTGTTTCTCGCAGGACCTCGCGGGTCAGGCGTCTCTCCAGATAGGAGATGGTATATTTGTAGATCTCCGCAAGGTAATCTGTGCATACATCACGAGCGTCGGCCTTGAATGCTGGTATCTTCATCAAACCATCCTCGATGGGATCGCGGCCCCGAGACTGAGAGATGTGGCTGCTCTGCGGATCAAGGAGAAGCTTGGTCCATGTGTATGCCTTCATCTTCGGAACCACTTGGTATCCCCATGCAACGTCTCCTCCGCCGATCGAAGGGTTTTCGGATCTGTACGCGATGCGAGAGGGGGTCTTCCAAGTCTCTTCTTGCTCTCGAGCAGGGCCGGGCCAGGTGCGAATCACATGGATGTTGTTGGCACCTTGGGAAGTGTTGACAAAGCTCACTCCTGGACTCGATTAGACACCAAATTGCTGGGATAGGGGTGATAGAAGTGATGCGCACCAGTAAACGTAGTGCCATAGTCCACTCCGACGATGACCTTGTGTAAAGCTTGGTAGGGGGGCGGCAGAGTGTCCAGATCGAAAGTCAAGATCGCCATTACAAATATTGTATGCACTGGTGATAGAGGGAAGAGTGTGTCAATAAGAGTTAAGAGGAAGGAAATCAAGCCCCTTAGGAAGTATTCAGGGGAGTCAGAATCTAAATACAGGCCTTCACTCGAGTCTAGTGCAGCCTTGCTGCTGGCTGCTCCTCTTCCCCTCTTCGTGTGTTCAAGGCTGGGCCTCAGCACCGCCTTATCTCTGTGTAACATGGCCCTCAGCCTTGTCATCAACTTCCAATAGAATAGCTGAGATTGATTGCTTCTCCCAATACCAGCAAACATAGACTTGCCCATGCAGTCTGTGCTAATATAATTGGCCGGCAGTAGACGCCCATAGCGGGCAGACCTTTGTGGGTTGTTTGTCTTCATCCCCGTCCCCATTATTTCTCTTGACCTTCATCATCCCCAAAAAACTGAAAACCGAATCTCTAAGTGTTCAACTCATTTAAACCGTCGCGGAGGATGAACTCTCCAGTCGAATATTACCAACAGCAGACCCTTGTCGGCGCTACAGACCAACAGGCTCCAGAAAGGGAACTGTTCGATCTGAGGCAACGGATTCAGATCAGAGATCGCACTATCGACGAGCAGAAGAGTGAAATCGATCAACTTCGAAAGATGAAGACGAGCTTCGGTTCAGCACTTAATCACTTTGGACGCATGATTTTCGATGCTGTAGACAGCTCGGCTTCTGCCGAACACAAGGAATTGAAACAAAGACACCAGGATCTCCAGGTTCGTCTGAGTGAGGCTGAAAAGGAGTTGGTCGAGGTCAAACAAATGTATCTCAGAACGGCTCAGTCTCTTCGCCATGTCCAGGAAAGGGCTTTTCAACTGCAGGACCAACAAGACTGGGCTCCAGACTCCCATGAAGCGGTCTGTCGGGAGCTGAATAAACTATATGCAGATGCCCACAAGTGGTGCAAGGTATATTCACACCAAGCATGTTCTATTCTTAAGACAAAGCCAGAGGAGTGGCCTGCTGAATGCAAAGATGTGGTCCGCTACGATGAAAAAGCCTTCTCAAAGAATGCACGACATTTGCCGTCTCTCGTTTTGGAAGCCCTTCTTATGGATTGTATCTACAAGAGAATCTTTGCCAAACCGCTCTTCTTTCTGCCACGGAGGCTGAATGGTCATCTCTTGGAGGAAACGGAGAATTGGAATGATTATGCTACTACAGCTCTAAGACATGAGCCACACCTGTCCCTCGAAGAGATGTTAGACGAGGTCATCCAGGGCGAGTCGAAACTTCCAGAAACAGGCTGACATTGGCTAATATTTTCTCGATATATAGGTGACTTAGAGGGAGGCCAGGCCTGGAGATCCCAATGGCTGAGACTACTCAACCCTAAACACCGCGATGACAAAAAGGATTTGACGCGACTTGAGGCAACCAAAGTGCGGAGTGCCACGGCTCGCAAAGAGGCGGCTATGGATATTATGCAAGGCTTCATAGATACCGTTACTGGGCATTTGATCAGCCCCTTGGCTACTGATGGAGTAGCCTTTACGTCATTAGCCAACATTTTCATCACTGCAGCCGAAACGTCAAACAAGCTCTGGCTGCGGAAGAGCTACATTGAGGTCCGGACGATGGAAACCCTTTCGCCGACTTTCGTGCATGATATGGAACTTCTCAAAGCCCATAGACTACACAATCGAGTTCTCGATGATGACCCAACTGCATTGGATGGGGCGCCTATTCATATCGTCACTCAACCAGCAGTTCTCGTGCATGGTCTGAGCGATGGGACTGATTACAGCCAAACTTGGCTTTGGAAAGCTGCGGTGGTATGGATGGGGTGAAGGCACTCTATCATACACAAGGATGTATCAAATGGAATGTCAAATGGATGCTTATTGTCGAGTTGATAAGCTATTTTATTCTCTCCATGACCTTCTTACTGTCTTGATTAAAAAAGAAAACACCGATAGGGCCAAGACAAGGACACGGTCTACACCCTGCAATGACCAACGTAAACGTCAAGCATGTGAAATGGCACACGCCTACGATGATCCAGTTAGCAGTCCGATCTCGATAATAAGTGTCAGAAATAGCTCTAGGTAGTGAGAGTAAGTATTTTGGATAGATTTAGAGCAATGTGGTGTCTAGTACTAGAGCTTCCCACCTTTTTCCAGACTCAGTAGACGGAGTCTTGCTGATAACTACAAAATGCATGCATATAGTGAGATTTAAGATATAATATAAATGGAATAGTCGTTTCATATATACAGATGGGAATTGTAGAATAATAAATACCCTGTCTCGCTGTAACTGGTGGTGCAGAGATTTATACAGTGTAACTCCAAAACCCTAAACCCTAAGTCTACCTCTGCTGTTCTTTTAGTTTATTGGCTCATAATACACTGATCACACTAATATCTATGCTATATCAGGTTGAATCTACTGGGCGCAGCTTCCTTGGCATTCTTGCTAAAGGTGCGCTGTTGGAGGCCTTGCAGGACACTACTGCGTAAAGAGACGCACTTCGGAGATGACTCGATAAGAAAGCAAAGCCAGCTGGCTACTCGTGCTAAATTCAATAGGCTCATCTGGCAGAATTTGACGCTTCCTTTCCTTCCTCAAGACATCTATTTCTCTTCTGCTTCTTGACTTCTTTGCCCGGCTCATATTCTCATACATTTTAAATAGAAAATCACTGAGCTAGCTGGCTAGTGGATGGCGGCTGAGGCCACTAAGCAGGGATGCAGCATGGAGGCGCAATTCTCATAATACGAGGCAGAATCTCCAGATTAATTCTGTGGTCAGCATAATGGCTGCAATCACCTATAATGGGCCATCGAGTGCCAGCTCATTAATGCCCCTTCCTCACTTTCCTTCGATATGAACTTTGCTTCATACAGATGGATGATCAAAGCATCCAGCTACGTCTGTTGAACGCAGATGAAGAGGCACAACAGGCCTCTTCGACGAACCTCTCCCGTACGAGGCTTGCCAGTTGGGCATGGGAAACAGGCGGGATCATCCTATCGGCCGCGCTGATTGTGACTCTCGTCGTCCTCCTGCGCTACTATGATGGCCGCCGCGAGCCCGCATGGGAGCACATGTCGCTCAACACACTCATCGCGTGGTTGAGCACCATCACCAAGGCATGTGTCCTGTTTTCGGCCAGCCAGGGACTCGGGCAGCTGAAATGGGCGTGGTTCTCGACGCAGAAGCGCCCGCTGGACGATCTGGGCGGCTTTGACGCTGCTAGCCGGGGCGTTCTAGGTGGTCTCGCCCTTATATTCCGGGTGCGAGGGAGGTTGGTGGTGGTTATTCCTAAAGTCAATCTTTCCCTGCCATTGCTTACGCCCTCTACGTCTTCTAGGCACTTTGCTGTTGTCGGCAGCCTCGCCATAGTGCTGGCCGTCGGCTTCGATCCGTTTGTGCAGAACTTGGTGCACTATGTCCCTCGCAGCGTGGTGGATGCATCGCAGTCGTGTCTTCTGGGCAACACATCAATGTACAACACTGTCGGGCCATTGATGGGTGGAGATTGTAAGTCATACTGATACCGAGGTATCTACATTATCATCTACATGCTGACAGCCAAGTATCTTATGTGGACCCCGTTCTCAAGGCCAATGTCTACAACTCCCTGTTCAATCCGAGCTCCAGCCAAACCTGGGCCACGCCGCAGAATACCTGCTCGACGGGCAATTGTGTCTGGGAGCCATCCGCCAACCTCGCCGTGCGTGCGCTTTGTTCCAACGTCACATCATATCTAGAGCGAAGCTATACATATGTATCGAACGGCTCATATGTCAAATGCACCGTCACCCTCGGTAGCAACGGCACTCTCTCGACCCAGTACCTCTCAACAGGCAGCGGTGCGCAGCCCATGGTGGTCACCACCGTGGAGAGTGAGTCGGCGCTGGTGTACCAGAACGCCAGCCTCCCCGTTGTGCAGTACATCCTTGCCAGGGGGTCCAACGACGGTACAAACGGCGGCGGCGGGATTGCCACGGACATCAACAACGGCACGCAGTTCATCGCCACCGAGTGTGCTCTGGAGCCCCTTGTGCGCAGCGTGCAGGCCTCTGTTTCCCAGGGCGTTTACCAGGAGACCCTACTCGCCGATTGGGCGACAGTCAACACGACGGCGCCGATGGACGCGGGTTACAGTGACTTCCGGGTCGCTTTCAGCCCTGGATGGAAGAATTCCAGCGGCCTGGGCCTGAACTCGCCTGGAGAGCTGTTCGCCCTTGGCTTCGAAGCCTGGGACTCCATGATAGTGTTCTTTGAGGCGCTTTTTGAAGGCTTCGTGAGCGCTGGCTCGGATGTTTTCGAGTTTGAGCCCTCTGGAGCGGACTCGTACGCCACGACAGATGCCCTCGAGGCCATCTTCTACGGTAACTTCAGCAGCAGCTGTGCTGTGGACGACCAGTTGACCTGCGCCATGGAAAATGTGGCGACGGCGATCTCCAAGACGATTCGTGATTCGGCGTTTACCAGTGGTGAGGAATCTGACGTTGCAACCACAGTCAACACCAATATCACCATGGGACACACGATGACGACTGTCTCCTTTGTAGCCGTCCACTGGCAATGGCTGCTTCTACCTTTATTCGTCTGGCTACTGGCCACCGTGTCCTGGATCGGTGCAGTGTGGAAGAGTGGCCCCCAGATCCCGGTGTGGAAAAATGATATCCTGCCGCTGCTCTTTCTCTATCGTCCGGCCGATAGGGTCGAGATGGTTGGCAAGGACATTCCTGTGAGCTTTCGACAGGAGACTCGGGTCAGGCTTAACCAGGGGCATCTAATCAATACATAGCAGGTATATCAAAGATAATCAAAGATATATCAATGAGATATATACTTGAAAGAGTGACACATAATTAATTTATTAAACTTGTTGTAGATACTATCTAGATGAACATTGCAAATGAATTGAAAAATTCATGAAAAATGAACGGCGTATCGGAATACCGGAATGCGGAGGATAAGAGTTCGTTTTACGTAAAGTATCTCGCTGACGGTTACCAATCAGTCAATTGCCGAGATCCCTGATAATCATCCTCCGTACAGGAAGCTCAATAAGTACACGACTTGGCGACAAGGAAATTAAGTCAATCAACGGCTAAGCATGAGTCTCCCACACCCCCAAGGCATGAGCTCCTTCTGGAGAAAAGACCCTCTTCCCCTGGATAACCACCGTTCCACCCCCCACCTGCCGGCGGAGAGCGACTTGGTCATCGTTGGCGGGGGATACAGTGCCGGCGCCCTGGTGACGCATATTCTGGCCGAGTACCCCGACCATCCGTCTATTCTGGTCTTGGAGGCTCGCCAGCTGTGCTCAGGGGCGACAGGCAGAAATGGTATGGTAGTATTGTGCATTGGTTTGATTCTTCTTGCTTATTGCTCTTCAGGCGGCCATCTCAAACCAGACCCGTACTCGCATGCCGGCGCGTTGGCCAATGAACATGGCCTCGCCGCTGGACAAGAAGTTGCGGCGTTTGAAAACGCCAACCTGGTCGCTGTCAAGAAGTACATCGAACAGGAGAACGTCGACTGCGACCTGGTCGTGACGCGCGGGTGCGACGTGCATTTCAAGGAGGAGCAGGTCGCCCAGGCGAAGAAGGCGTTGCAGATGATGAACAGCGGAGACGCTTTTCAGACCTGCAAGAATGTAGAACAGGTAACATATTTATATTTCTTAATATTTGTATATATCTAATGATGATAGGTATCTGGCGTCAAAAACGCCCGGGGCTGCGTCACCTTCACAGCAGGGCATTTATGGCCCTCCAAGCTGATCCACCATATGTTCCGTCAAGCCATCGCGCAGGGGGTCAACGTCCAGACGCACACATCCGTGCAGTCCCTGACTCGTCTCCCAGACGGCCGGTGGTCGCTGCTGACCTCGCGCGGGACGGTGATCGCCCGCCAGGTGGTGATGGCCACCAACGCGTACACAGCCGCCCTGCTGCCCGAGTACCACGAGCAGATCATCCCGTACCGCGCCGTGAGCTGTCGGATTGTGACGCCCGGCAAGGCCCCCCTGCTGACCAACACGTACTCGCTGCGCTTCACCGACTGGGACTTTGACTATCTGATTCCCCGGCCGGACGGGAGCATCATCGTCGGCGGCGCGCGGTCGGCGTACTGCCAGAAAAAGGACGCCTGGTACGGCAATGCAGATGACAGCGGCGTCATTGAAGAGACCCGACGGTATTTCGACGGATACATGCAGCGTCACTTTATCGGATGGGAGGAGTCCAACGCCCATGTCGATGATATCTGGACCGGCAGTGAGTAAAACCCTAACCCTAAACCCTAAACCCTAACCCTAGGGTTTCTAACTATTCTAGTCATGGGCTATTCGCGCGACAAACTCCCTCGCATCGGTCCAATCCCCCATCGAGACGGACTGTTCATCATGGCAGGCTGGACAGGACACGGAATGCCCCAGATCTTCCTGGCTGCCAAAGGCATGGCCGAGATGGTGGTCGGGGGCAAGCCGTACAGCCAGACCGGTCTCCCCCGTTTGTTCGAGGAGACGCCGGATAGGATGAAGGCGCCGAATAAAGTTCTCGAAGGATGGAGCAAGGCGAAGCTGTGATAGGAGACCGGCGCCGAGGTAGACGATAGAAGCTGGGTAGAATAAGATAATTGAGGCTCCACAAGAATCCTTCTTATCGCCTGTATTGCAAATACGGTATTCCATCAATCAACGTATATTACACTGCTGATTGGCTTCATGAACCCCAATCCTTTCTTATCGGCTTTCAATTCAATTGCTAATGGATTCCCCGCATAAATCTGAAATATAAGGCGCTTAAGCCCCCGCAGCTCATGCAGGTACGGTCAATATTCAAGCTTCCATCCACCATGGACTCTTACAATGAGAAACAGCCTGAAAAACCGTCCGACAGCGACGATGTCGTCGCCATGGGCTATGCCGCCGAGGTGCCTCGCAAGTTCACCCTGCTGACGCTGTTTGGCATCGGCTACGAGATCTGCGTCTCCCCCGTCGCCCTCATTGTTTCGCTGGGCCTGTCCATCGGCAGTGGCGGCCAGGCCACCCTGGTCTGGGGCCAGTTCCTCATCTATCTTGTGGCCTTTTGTGTTGCTGCCAGCCTGGCAGAGCTGGCGTCCGCCTATCCCAACGCTGGCGGCCAGTACTACTGGGCAGCCATGCTGGCGCCCCCCCCTGTGCGACGGGTGACTGCCTTTGTGGTCGGCTATCTCAGCTGGGCGTCGGCCCTGCTGGGCTGTGCCTCGTCGCTGATCGCCGCCGCCCAGATGGCCGGCGCCCTGTACCTCCTCGGGCATCCCACCGCGAGTGTCCAGCCGTGGATGACGTTTCTCATCTACCAGGCGTTCAACGCCATCATGTTCGTCTTCAACTGCTGGGCCACCATCACGCCGCGGTTCAGCCGCTTCTGGCTGGCCATCGCCATCGCCACCCCCATCATCGTCTTTGTCGCCCTGCTCGCCCGCACCGAGTCCAAACGCTCGGCCGAGTTCGTCTTCACCGGCTTCACCAATCTCTCCGGCTGGCCCGATGGCCTGGCCTTCCTCACGGGCCTCTGCGGCGTCAACTGGGGGTTCTGTGGCCTCGACGCCGTCACCCATATGGCCGAGGAGATCCCCGACCCGCGCCGCAACGTGCCGCGCGCCCTGATGGCCACCGTCGCCATCGGCGCCATCCTGTCCTGGCCCGTCGCCATCGCGGTGCTCTTCTGCGTGCAGGATATCCCCGAGGTCATCGACACCTCGACGGGCATCGCCTCGCTCCAGCTCTTCCTGCAGGTCTTCAAGGGGAGCACCGCAGGGCCCATCGCCCTGCAGACCACCCTCCTGTTGAGCTCGCTGGGGGCGGTCTTTGGCATCCAGGCCTGGCAGGCCCGTCTCGCCTGGTCCATCGCCCGCGACGACGGACTCCCCTTCTCCCGCTATCTCAAGACCATCGCCCCGGCTCCCTTCCAGGTGCCCCTGTGGGCGCATCTCTGGTCCTCGCTCTTTGTCGCCCTGCTGGGCTGTCTCTATCTCGGCTCCAGCATCGCCTTTAATTCCTTTGTCAGCGGCACCATGCTCATGCAGTATACCGCTTACTCCGTCTGTATCTTGTTCTTGATCTTCTACCGCGGCAGAGACAACATCCCCCATGGTCCCTTCTGGCTCGGCAAGCTCGGCCTGGTCTGCAACATCGTCACTTTGATCTGGACCCTCTTCACTGTCGTCATTTACTCATTCCCCCCGGACTACCCTACCACCCTGACTACCATGAACTATGTCTCGGTCGTCCTCGTCGGCTTCACCTTTATTTTTTCTGTGTATTATATCATCTACGGCCGCAAGTCTTTTACCGGGCCGCCAGAATTGGAGTAGTATAGAATAGAAATAGAGAGCAACTGATGAATAAATGTTCAGATGAGCATCTATAATAGGCAGCAAGATTTAGTGATACGCCAAGTCTATGCATTTGTATTCTAGCAGTAAGATAGTTTTATGTATCAACCTGCATCAGTGCTATATCAGGTCTCCGGTCTATATAATAATCCATAATCAACCCTAGAACTATGATGTGGTATCAGTTGTATGGACATATTAATCTATCCACTATTCTAGCAACTCTCAAGTAGAAGTGGGGCTTAAATTCTGTATTATAAATGAAAGTTGATGCCTCTAAGCACCTTGTAAGCAGTGACCTCACACTGCTAGGGGTGAAGTAGATGTCTAACAGCAAGATCTAAGAATATAAGGAGTCTATAGTAGGTCTAATGAGAGAATAAGATAAAGTACTTAAGGTTCTATTATCTATCTAAGGGAAAGTATATATCCTAATCCCTAAGTAGGGTACTTAATAGGTGCCCATTAGGTACCTAATACTAATCTACTACTAGCCGCGGGGTAGGCTTAGTTAGATCAGTTGTAGGGACGGCGTCAGTACTGGCCTCATAATATTATCACACTTACTATATCCTACTATAGTATAATTATAGTGCTATTATATTACTACTATAATTTACTATAATACTTATATAACTCCTGAGTTAGCCTTATATTCAGAAGTTCCCTGCCAACCATTCTGCCTGGTGAGACCACTAGGTGGCTAGTGTCATAACACTTTTGACCTCCTATGGGATTCTTGCCTCTTATTAGCTTATCTTTATTTAACTCTTCTTATATCTCTATATTAAGTTTAACCCTAAGTCTTAACTTCCTCTTATAAGAGCCTTTAATACTAAAAATTATAATATATATTAAACAGCTGTTTATAAAGATGGTTTAACTTAATTCTACTCTAGTACTTTTAGTGATTAATATATAAAATAGCTTCTACTATAAATAAGGTAGCTTTATAAAGATAGGCTCTTAAAGTAAACTAATAGTAATTATTCTATATATTAATAAGCTATACTCCGCGTTCTGCGCCACTAATATCCTGGTTTTTTTCCTAAAGATAGGATATAATATAAACTATTCTAATAGATATAGCCATAATAGAGGGGATCATGTTAAAGAATTATAAGGTCTAATATAAGGGTCTTAGAATACTAATATTCTAGATAAACTCATGCCTAAGTCTAATAAAAAGGTTATTAATAAAATAAGAAATTCTGGTTTCTTTTAGATATTACTAGAAAACACCCTAAAGCAGCATAAAGTCAATTATTTAATTTTAATAAGAGTAAGGATAGATATATATATTAAGTTAATAGTAAGAGATGCCTATTAGATAGACTTTACTATTATTACTATAAGTAATATAATTAAGATATATAATAAGCTAGACTATTTAGCTACTCTATATACTTTATAAAGGTTTAGTGGCACAGTATTAATAGTAGAAGTAATTAAAGCTTTATAAAAGTTATAAGACTTATATAATTAAAGAATATTATAAATATATGTTCTAATATTAAATTAAGCTATTAATTCCGCCTAGTCTTTCTTCTCATATAAATAAGACTCTCTGTAAGCAGTGACCTTGCACTACTAGGGGTAGATAAGTAAGATATTAGCACAACTAGATAATAGTAAGATCTAGAGATATAAGGAGTCTATAATAGGTCTAATAAGAGAATAAGATAAAGTGCTTAAGGTTCTATTCTATCTAGAAGGGATAATATATATCTTAACTTTAAATAAGGTACTTAATAAGTGCCTAATTAATACTTAATATTAACTAATAGTTATATAGTATACTTAATTAAATAGCTTATAAGGTAGTATTAGTACTAGTCTTATAATTATTCCTCTCCTTTAAGAGGCTTAGCCCTAAGCTGTTATAAAAATAAATAAAAAATAGTTATTTTTATAAGTAGACTTTAATTAAATACTATATAGATATAATATTAAATATAAGAGTTTATTAATAAAGAAATAAAGAGTATAAGTAAAAGTTAAATATATTAAGGGAGAGGTGTTTCTAAGGGTTAAGTAAATAAAATAAGGTCTATATTTATTAAGTACTAAAGTATAAATATTATTATTTTATATAATTTAATTCTTATTCTCTAGCTTCTTAATAAGGTCTTTTAGTATATATAGCCTCTTTTTCTTAATAATAATAAGATGCTAGAAGCTAATTAGATAATATAAATTTAATTTTTTTTATCTATACTTTAGTAAGTTATTTTAATAACTATTCCTTTATTTTACTAATCTTTTAATAATATATAATAATAATCTATAAGATAAATACTTACTTCTTATTAATCTATTATTTCCTAATAGTTTTAGTATATAGTAGCTATTAATAATAAGAAGGTAATATCTTATTTTACCCCTTATTTTATTTTCTTAACCTTAATATTATATTTATTTAGTAATAACTTAGAGGAGATAAATAATATCTCTTTAACTTATTTAATATAAGAGACTACTTTTTTTAATAATAAAATTCTTAAAAAAGTACCTCTTATTTATTATATTTAGCTTCTTAATAACTTATTTAAGTCTACTTATAATAGCTATTTTACCCCTAGCTTAAAGCTAGTTAAATTTAAGATTATAAAGACTATTTAAGATATAAATATATATATAGCTACCCTTATTTAGAAAGATATATTTAATACTTTTAGTTAACTTTAATATATATATTATATTAATATTATAGATATAAAGTACTTTATTTAATATATTTATTTTATATTAATAAGTATCTAGTATCTTTATTATACTATAAATAATATTATCTATATAGTAGACTATATTTAAGATAATATTTTTAATTAAAAAGTATAATATCTTTATAAAGTCTCTACTACTCTTAATATCTTAGATATAGCTATAGTAGTTATCTTTTAATTAAATATCTATACTTAGAAGGCTAATATAGATATTTATTAGTATTAACTTTAATTAATAGTAGTAATAAGTTAACCCTTTATTATTAGTATAACTTTAATAGCTCTTACTTTAGTAATATTAATATTTATATCTTAATTACTTCTAGTTATTTTATAGGATATTATAGTAGTAGTTTAAGAGCTTATAATAACTATAGTAAAGATAAAGAATCTATTAAATAATAAGTTATAAATTAAAGAGATATAGACTTAATATTTTCTTAATATAAATAATAATTATATTTATAATAATAATTTTTTTTAATTATAAATAATTTTATTAAGATATTACTAATAAACCTTTAAATTTATAAAAAAAAAGAAGAAGGTTTATATTAATAAGTAAATAAGTTTTTATCTATTTAATATCTATAATATCTAAAGAAAATCTAATAAGAAAAAACTTTAGGTTTATTTAGGACACTCTTATTAAAATATAGACTTTAAAGAAGAGTTCTTTTTTAAGAAGTTTTTTAATACCTTTTAAGTATTCTTTAGGTCCTCTTTAGACTACTAGAATATCTTATATAATAAGTATTTTTATATAATTAAGTATTATATCTCTTTATTCTTATTAATTTAATAGTTTAAGATTTTATCTACTTCTTACTCCTTCTTATCTTCTACTTTAATTAATTATAATAAGGGCTTATTATAATTATTATATTAATAATATAGCTTTAGCTTAGATATATAGAAGATAAAGTAAATCCTTTTATAAACTTTAAATAAGTATAAATAGTATATTTATTTACTTACTATCTCTATAATAAGAAAAAGTCTTAAATAATAGTTATTAAGCTTCTAAGAAGGTTATAAGGACTTAATATTAATATTAATAATAAATATCTTTTAATTTATTATATAATATATAGGTTATTATTTTTAATTATAGTATTTTACTTAAGACTCTTATACCTTCTTTAAATAAGTCTTTAGTAACTATTTAATAATTATTATAATTATTAATTATTCTTTAATTAACTTAAGTTAAACCTTTTCCTTAAATAGGCTACTTAATATCTCTATATAGTATTTATATAGTATATATATTAAAGTAATATTAGTAGAGGTATATTTAGAATTATTATAAATAAAAGCTATTATAGATAATAAAGAGCTCTAGTTATCTTATTAGTAGTCTTTAAAAATATAAAGATATTCTTTTAGGACTTAGTTTTATTATTTTATCTAGCTATTAGTTTATAAGTAAAAGACTATATTTAATAAATATCTAATTCTTATAATATTATAGAATATAGTTTAATAATAACTAGTAAAAAGAGATTTTTAATTTAATATAATAGAAGAAGATACCTTATAGATTATAATAACCTAATTAAATATAAGATTTACTAATTTCTCTATATTTATTATATTTTTAGCTAGAATATATAGGGAGTATTTAGTATATCTATTAATAATAATTAGGATAATATTATATATATAGCTATTAATCTTATTCTTTAATAAGAGAAGCCTTATAATAAAATTTATAAAGATACTCTATTATAGTCTCCTAATTATTAATAATAAAAATAATTATTTAGCTAGCTTAGTTCTAGGTGTCTTTATAACTTAATATATATAATATATTTATATATACTTTTTAATATTATAATATAAGATTAACTAATAGTACTTCTAGCTAATTAGTTTAAGTATTTTCTATACTCCTAAGTGCCTTATAAAGGGGTTATTATAATAGAGTTATAAAAGTTCCTACTTAATTATTAAATTAAAGGGTATAATAATAGATTTATACTTATAAAGGAGGCCCTTATCTTTTATACTTTATTTTTTTTTATAAGTTATTTATATTATACTAGATATCTTAAGAGATTATAAAGTTAATTATATAAAGATATCTCTTTATTATAACTCTATAAGAAGCTACTTAAGGTTAGTTACTAGTTTATTTAGAGAGTTCTTATAATTAGCCACTTCTTTAATTAATATTTTTAATATTAAAAGTCCTAAATATTTTAGTTTTTATATCTATATTCTCTAGAGAATATCCTTACCTCTTTATAAATATATCTATTATAAATTAAGCTATAACTTATATTATAATATTAATAATATACTAATATCCTCTTCTTTAGAGATTAGCTTATAATCTTAATAATATAATAAAGTATTTATTAAGTTTATCTTCTTTAGCTTATATTTAATATAAAAGTTATATAAAACTAGTAATTCTACTTAATATATCTAATATATAATCAATATCTTTATAGTAAAGAAGTATCTTAAATTAGTATAATTAGTCTATATTTATATAGGATACTTAGAGCCTTTAAGATAATAATATTAAGTTTTAAATACTTTAATAATAGCTAGAAGCTCCTAATTATAGGTATTATATTATTATTTAATATTATTTAGCTTTTAAGAATAGAAAGTTATAAGATACTATATACTTATTCTTACCTTAAGTTCCCCTTTAATATCTTCTAATTATAATAAAATTATAGTAATTATAAATCTAGATATATTAATTATTAAATATAATTCTTATTCTAAATTAAAAGAAGTTAAAATAAATAGATTTATAAAGGCTTCTTTAAGCTTATTAAATATCTCTCTTATAATAAATATTAATATAAAAGCTTATATTAGCTTCCTCTTTTTTATTTCTTAAATAAGGTTAATAAAGGGTATTATTAAGTTAGAATATTAGTTTATAAATTAATAGAAGTATCTTATAAACCCTAAAAAGACTTATAGATTATAGAATATTTATAGTTTAGACTATTTTTTAATAATATTAATATAAGCTAGATCTATTTTAAAATTATTTTAGCTTATAATAAAGCTAAAGAATTTTAGCTCTAATTTATAGAATTTATATTTAAATAGCTTAATATATAGATTATAAGTATATAGTTAATATAATACTTAATTAATATAGTTAATATATTCCTCTTCTAATTCTAAGAAGATAAGGATATTATTTAGGTAAATTATATAAAAAATATCTAAGATTCTATATATAGCTTTATTAATATAGGATTAAAAAGTAGCTAATATATTAGTAAGTCTAAAGAGTATTATTAAATATTTATATTAATTATAGTAAGTATAGAAGAAAGTCTTCTACTTATTACTTTTATAAATATAGATCTAATAATAAGTATTATATAAGTTAAGCTTAATAAAGAATTTTATATTTATTATTTAATTTATTAGCTTATTAATATATAATAGAGGGTAATAGTTCTTTTTAGTAACTATATTAAGAGTCTTATAGTTAATATATAGTTATAATATACTATTTAGTTTCTTAATAAAAAGAATAGATATATTAATAAAGCTTATTAAGGGCTAAATCTAGCTTTATTATATCTTTTCTTAAAGATACTTATAAAGTATCTCTAGTTTAGGGGCTAATAAGCTATATATAGCCCCTTAAAAAGATAATTTATTACTTATAAGTTTAATTTTATATTTTATAATTCCTATAAGAAGGAGTCTTATCTTATATTTAGAGAAGATACTCTTATAGATCTAATAAACTTTAAGTAGACTAAAGGCCCTTATAAAGCCTAAAATAAGGTCTATAAATAAAAAATAGATAATTTTATTATAAAAGAGCTTAATAAAATAATTTATAAAGTTAATCTTAATTTATTTAATAAGCTACTTAAAGTAATATTAAATTAAGATAATAAAATTAATATATAAATTAATATATATTAATTATATTTACCTTAATATAAGATTATATCCTTATATATTAATAATATTATAAAGGATATTATATTATTTTATTTATTTTTAAGTATTCTAAATAAAAGTTATTAAGAAGAATAAGCTAAAGTAAAAGATAATCTAATTATTAATAAACTTAATAGATCCTAAGTATTTATATATAAGACTTAAGTTATTAATAAATAAAAAATAATAAAAAATAAAGTCTTCTTAGGTGCTATTATTTAATAGTATCTTTATTTTAATATACCTAATTTTAAGAGTAACCTAAATATTAGCTATAATAAGAAATAGTTAATTAAGGTTACCTCTTTATATATAGGCTAAAACTAGTATATTAAGGAGTTTCTATTCTATTATAATAATATTAGGATTATTAATTATTTCTTTAGTATTATCTTTTTCTTAACCTATCTTCTTCTCTTTTTTAGGGTAGTTTAGAGAAATATATCTAGTTTTATTATAAATAAAATAGTATTTTTTTTTTATTTACTATTTATATTTTTTTAGTAAAAGTTATTAAAAAGAATATTATCTTTTTATATCCTTTATAGTATCTTTATCTCTCTCTCTCTTTTAGGACTTCTTATATTAGTCACTAGTGCCTTTACTAGATATTAATATTATAATTATTAATAAATTATAATTAATAATTTTATAAATAAATAATTTTATCCTTTATAAGCTACTTTATTTTAAATCCTTTAGTATATACTTCTTAAGTTTAATAATTAAAAGAAAGCTTATAATAAAGTTAATATTATAAAGGATAATTAGGTTTTTAATAATCTCTTTATATAGCTTTAGTTTAATTATATATATAAAAAATTAGTTCTAGATAAGATCTTTAGTAATTACTTAACTTATAATAAATATTTATATAGTATTCTTTTAGTTACTAAAAAAATTTATAATACTTTAATTTTACTTTTATTATAGATTTTAGAATTTACTAAAAATAATTAACCTTTTATTATAGTCTCTCTTATATTATTAATATAAAAAGTTAAATAATTTAATTAAGATTTATAATTCTAAGTTATAGTACTTTAATTATTTTATCTTTATATTATCTTAAAGCTAACTTTTAATATACTATACTTTACTCTTTTTTTTCTAGAAAAAGGATAATTTAGCTTTTATATAAATTAAAAGATTATATTTCTAAAGATAAAGCTTCTTTATAAATTTATTTATATAAAATTTAAACTCTAAATATTTAATAGTCTTTATTAATAAATATTATTTAATAGTATATAATATTTATTATAGTGCTTTATTATTTATAAGAGCTAGCTAAAGTATAGTATCTTAATACTCTTAATTAATTATAAGTCTAGAGGGAGTTAATAAATTATTAAATAAATCTTTAAGAAGTTTTTAGGCTAACTATTCCTTTACTTAATTTATTAAGATATTAAGAAGTACTTTAGGCCCCTTTATAATATAAATTAATTTATTTATATTAATATTTAATTAGTTAGTTATAGATGCCTTAGTGCTAGAGGTTATTTAAGAATAGTTAAGTATCCTTAATAATTAGTTTAATATTCTTAAGATAATAGTTTATTACTAATATATTATTTATTTTAAATTATTTTTAAGTATAGGTCCCTTATAGCCCTAGGATTCTTATATTAGATTAAGGTTACTTTAATCTAATATATAAGAAAAGTACTTTAAATTATAAGTAGTAACCTTATACTACTAGAGGTAGATAAATAAGATATTAATATAACTAGATAATAATAAGGTTTAGAGATATAAGGAGTCTATAATAAATTTAATAAGAGAATAAAATAAAGTACTTAAGATTTTATTTTATCTAAGAAGAATAGTATATATCCTAACTCTAAGTAGGGTACTTAATGGGTGCCTAACTGATGCCTAATATTGACTAATAGTTGTGTGGTATGCTTAGTTAGATGGCTTATAGGGCGGCGTTGGTGCCGGCCTTATACTCTCATTGGCGCCTTATATAAACATATTATATGCAGCTTATAAGGTACATCTACTACTAATAGAAAGTAAGCACAGGGCATTAAGAGCTGTCTCCTAGTTTATCACTAGTTATGGCTATAATAGGCATCACAGGTTTAATTCTATTATTTAAGTAGGAATAGCCATCTTAGATACTACATGTCCATCTAATAATTCATGCCAAGAATCTCACCCTATTATAAATATGTGGATCTTAGTAAGATAGAGTGCAATAGTCCACATTAGTTAAGATGAATATCAGAATAAACATGAATATTATTATCACTTAATTTAAATTGTAGTAATAGTATAAATCTTGAGCATAAAGATAGCATAAAGGCATAAAGGCATAAATAAAGCTAAATAAAGCTAAATAAAGCTAAATAAAGCTAAATAAAGCCAAGGAAAAACCATTTTCCTCACCTCCAAGTCCAGGTCTCCCTTGAGTCCTTCCTGACAGCAGGCCATTCATGATGCCTCCTCCCCCCCAGACCGTCGCCGTCGTCGGCTCTGGCATGGCCGGCCTGGTGGCCGCGTACCTGCTTGCCCACGACCGCCAGCGCAGATTTTGCGTCGAGATCTTCGAGACGGTATTTTGCTCCGTGGCAGTTCCATGGTCAAAGGCTAACAAACGACGCTTGATGGCAGCAAAACCAGCTCTCCCTCGACTCGGCCTCGTTCTCTCTGGCCAGCGACCGGGTCGACATCCCCATGCGCGCCCTCGACGACGGCTTCCATGTGCAGCTGAAGAACATGTACGACCACCTGGGCGTGGCATGTACCTCCCCCCGGTTCCTGTATCCGCTGTCGACCATCGCCGCCGACGGCAGCAAGACGCCGCCGCACTTTATCCACTCGTCGAGCAACCACCGCGTGCCGCCGGTGAAGCCCGTCCACTGCGGATACATATCATGGGCGGTGCGCACGCTCTGCCTGGCCGTCTGCTACCTGTGGTTCACGGCGGCGTGCTTCGTGGTGCGCCCGGGAGACGAGGAGTCGCTGCGCGGATATCTCAACCGGATTCACCTGCCGCGCTTCTTCATCGCCACCTATCTGCTGCCGCTGATGTCGAGCGTGACGACGTGTCCGCACGAGGCGCTGCTGGCCTTCCCGGCCGTCGACGCGGTGCAGTACGCGCGGAAAACGTATCGCCAGCCTCACTATACCGTGGTCGGGGGCGTGCAGGGCGTCCAGACGAAGCTGGCCGAGGGCCAGACCGTGCGGCTCGGCGCGACGGTGACGGCGGTTGAGAACCGAGGCTCCAAGACGAGACTCTCCTGGACGCAGTCCGACGCCGTGCTCCTGTCCGCCGAGTTCGACCATGTCGTCCTGGCCGTCACCCCCAACGTCGTCGCCTCCATCTATCCTGCGCTCCGGGAGTCGATGCGCTGCATCCCCGTCGTCGTCGGCGAGTCGGTCGTCCACCGCGATCTCTCCTCGCTGCCCCCGGCATGCCAGTCGCTGAACCGCGGTGCGGCGGAGATCCTGCACATCTGCTCCGATGGGTCGTCGACCGAGTCGATCCATGTCTATCCCTCTGCGCTGGTGACCAACTTCCCCATTGCGCCCATCGATCCCGACAAAGTCCTTCACCGTGCCCGGTTGACGAGAGTCCTGCGCACCCCGACCAGCCGGAGGACGGTCAATGAGATCTTCGCGTCGGGGGCAGACAGGGGGGAGAAAGCATGGCGCAACGGAGATGGAAACGTCTGGCTCGTCGGTGCGTGGTGCTGGGACGGGATGGTGCTGCTGGAAGGATGTGTGGTCTCTGCCATGCGAATGGCAGATAGTCTAGGCGTGCAGGTGCCGTGGAGGAGGTAGATGTATATATATATATATATATATATGCACTTGGATAGAATCCGGATCTAATTAGGGCTACTGCTTGGTGGAACATGAACTATGACGAGCTACAATGATATACCCCCTGACCAGACCACTTTCCCCCCACCATCGAAACACTTTGGCTGCGCCTCGAAACCTGCCCAAGGAGATCCCGTACGGCCTCATCACGGCGTCTCGGTTGAGGATATACCGCGAAATACCGGAGAAGACATGCTCGCTGACGTCTCGCATCTCGATCTCCCCCAGCTCATACCCGGCTCGCACAAGCAGAGCCTCGTACTGCGTTTTCGTCATCAAGTTGGTGTATGGAATCCCCGACACAAGACACATGGCGTAGAGGATGAGCTTGTCGCGGAGACTCGCCGTATCGGAGAGCACCAGGTCGAAGGCCATCAGGGAGGCGTTCATCTCGCCACACGCCGCTTTGAACAGCGGCGCCCGCGATGGCTTGAAGTGGTAGAGAGTGTCTAGAGCAAGCAGCCATGTGGTCTTGTTATTCGATTTCTGCCTTACCACAGCTTCTTTCAGTTGATCGTTCCATGAAGCCGGATCCGCTGCGTCGGCGGCAAAGATCTTGCCAGCACAAGTCAGTCGCGAGCGGGCAAAGACCGCTTGGGCCTCTGCGATGGTGATGCCCACGTAGGAATCAACCAGGGGAGAACCCGAGCTGTGAAGAAGCTCGGTCAAATACACCGATTGATCGCCGCAGCCGATTCCCACGTCGAGCAGATCAATGCCTTGATCTGGTTTGGCGGTCTGTAGCACCTCGTCCAGCAGTGCTTGACATGCTTCTGGAAAGGACTCGGTATCCTATAATCATCAATCATGGTAGAAGTTAGGGTTAGGGTTTAGGGTTTAGGGTTTAGGGTTTAGGTAATGGTAGGGTCACGCACTTTCCAATACCCCAGGTTCATCCACATGCTGGCGGGCGGCTCGACATTCAGCACGGCGTGGTCGAGTCCGTACAGCTTCTTCTCCTTGATCCCTGCCATGAAGCGCACGAGGGGGCCGAGCAGTCGGGCCATGAGGGCGGGGAGGTCCATCTTGTGGGTTGGTGAGTTGGAGATTGAATCATACATGAGTCCACCTGTTTGCCTTTAGCCTTTAGGAATCTGAAACACGTGATATTATGTAATAGATTGTAGATGATTATTAATCACTGACGCTTCATAACCCTAAACCTATCTTCAGCAGTTCAATACTCTCCTCTAGATGGAATCCCCCTTTAAAATGGGTTCTACAGGTATTTTAGGTTCCTTAATTATACCTGCATCAAGGAACATATCAGGATGAAAATGCCTAAACACTTATACTACAGACCTCTTAGCAGTCGATCTTATAAACGTCAGGAGCTGCTAGCAGATCAAAGCATTATTCTATAGAGGACTGAGCGAAGCGAGGATAGCATGCTTTTATTAACTAATAGCTATGCTTCTCGCATATTTTGACCATTACCTGAGCCCAGCTAACTTTGACTAGAGTTCCAGCCTATCATTATTATCTGCTTCCTCGCCTGTTTTTACCAATATTCCTGCGGCGGATCTCAGGAAAATATAAACACCATAGTGGTCTTATTCTATTAATTCTATTTATTTCCTTACTTCCTTCTTACGCTCTTTCTTACACTCCTTCATTTCACGCTCTTTTCACGCTCTTTCTTCCGCTCTTTTCACGCTCTTTCTCACACTCTTCTATCTGTCTTTACCATACCTTTCTTAAGATGCTGTTCTACACGCTATTATTCAGTCTTCTCTCCCCTCTCGCGCGAGCGACAGTGACCTGCACCACCACCGAAATCAACGGATGGCAGAATCCGTCCTTTGAGACGGGCAACGTCGACGACTGGACAAACCTGGTGGCAACCGGGGCGGCCGCTGACGGGAGTGTTGTCGAGGGCGATGGCTCCTCCGGCAGTTACTATTACAGCATCACAGGCACCGGGATTTATACGTACCTGTCCCAGGACATGGCAGGCCTCACCGAAGGGCAAGCGTTGATGCTGTCGGTGGATTACCGAGTGTTCTTTACTGAAGACACCTCCACCACCGGCGACTATTGTTATATCTTCTTCTCCACAAACTCATGGGACAATCTGGAGAGTGCCCAAACCACAGTCCACCCGTCTGCGTACGAGTCCAACCCGGCCTGGTCGACATATACCCAGACGCTCACCCCCACCGCCGACACGGATGAGATATACTTCACCTGGGGTTGCTCTGCCTCGTACGTGGAGTTGGATCTCGACAACTTCCAGGCCGTGCTGGGCACCACCACCAGCTGTACCACTGTTCTTCCCAGCTCGACTCCGGTCACCTCCTCGCCGGCCTCGTCCAGTTCGATTGCATCGAGCTCTTCTTTTCTAGTGACGTCCAGCTCAGTTCCATCTTCCCCGGTCACGTCAAGCTCTGCGATCCCATCGACTGCTTCCTCCAACCTTGTTCCCTCCTCAGCGGCCCCATCGAGTGCCTCTTCCAGCGTCTCTTCTTCCGCTGTCTTCCCCTTCACCAGATCCTCCAGTCTGGCTGTCTTGCCTTCCTTGCCTGTCTCTGTCGCGTCATCTGCAGTGTCACCGGCATCGTCTGCCGTTGCCTCGTCATCTGCATCGGTAACCACAGATGCGGTGTTCACAACTACATCCATTGTCTATGTGACAGAGATGGCCACGGCCTATGCCTGTCCAGCTCCATCTGCTGCCTAGAGGCTTCTCTATTTTATGTAAGTAGTATTTATAATAGTGAACCATATGAACATAATCTATTTCAGACAAGAAATACATTATTATATATTAGATGAGATACTATGTACCAGTGAGTATTTATAGCTATAGCTATAAGGTAGCCTTCTTAAGGAGCTGAGTAGAGAGCTGTGACTTGAAGCAGAGGCTTTAGCAACAACTATAATTATATAGTACTAGTCACCATAACATTCAATTTCAATACTATATGTCTTAGTTTATTCTCTGCCTCTGATCATCAGCTTCCTAGACACAGATTAATACATTATGCTAGTGAATGATTCATATAGTTATGCTGGTCTGGTGAAAGAGTGAAGACTATCATTATTCCTCTCATGCATACCCCTTCTAGCACTCGATGACAAAGTTGGTCAAGAAAATATTCCAGCCAGAGTCCTCCGTATAGTCGCCCTCACATTCAAAGACTGTCGAGGCGCTCGAGGCCACAAACGAGCCGGTGAAGGTGGCCCATTCACCAAACGGGGTGAGCGAGACAGACATGGAGGTGCTGCCGGCCGTACAGGTCACTGCCGCGCCATCGTTGGAGAGGCCTTGATAGTAGGCAAACGAGACGGAGTAGGTCTCGCCCGCGACGGTGTCAAGCGTTTGGGCGAGGGTGAAGTCGCCGGGTGAAAAGGCGTAAAGGTCAAGGCAACTGGCCGAGCCATCGCAGTCATCCTCGATGTAGTCCCCGAAAGTGCCCAGCGTCAAGGTCCAGGCGCCCAGTTCGCCGCTGGAAAAGTCCGGGTTGGAGACAAGGTTGATGCCGCAGCTGGACGTTGCTGCCGCCGACGTGGTGACGACCGTCGTGACAGGCACCGTGGTGGTGACTGCCGTGCTGACCGTCGCCGTCTCGATCACCGTCTCGGTCGCGGTGACGGGCACCGTCGCCTCCACCGTCACGTACACGGTCGTCTGCTCCGTCACGACGGCGGTGGTGGTTGCGGTCGTGCGCTCGGTGACAATGCTGGTCACGTCCACGGTGGCTGTCTCGGTCAACACGGCGGTGCTTGTCACGGCCATGTCCGAGGTGAGGAAGACGGGCAGCGTCACCGTCTGCGTGTGCGTCGAGGGCGCCGCCGTGATGGTCGTAGTCACCGTGTCGGTCTCGAGACACCAGCACGCGTCGCTCAGCTGCTCGTCCGAGTAGCCGCCCAGAACTGCCGTCTGGCTGGCGCTGCTGCGTTTGAACCTTTTCACAGTCGGAGCCTCCTCCGTCGTCGTGGCGGCTGAGACGGTGGTCGTGATGGTGGTCGTGGATGGGACGGTGATCGTGTTGGTCGCGGTCTGCGTCACAGTCGAGTAGGCCGTCTCCTCGACAGTCTCAGTCACCGCGCTGGTCACCGTCACTGGCACGCTCTGGATGTACGTCGAGCTCGCCGTCACCCGCACAGATTGCACCAGCGTGGAGGAGAAGCGGTCGGTCGCCACCACCCGCGAGGACTGCGTCACCACCACCGACGAGAGGATGTAGACCGGACGTGTCTTGTAGACAGTCGTCGTCGCCGTCACGGCGGCTGCGGCGTCGGTGACGGTGACGACGTGGGGACCGACCGCCGTGGGATCGAGGCTCTGGCAGACCTGCTGGACGTCGGGGAGGCCCAGCAGGGTGTCCACCAGGGCCTCCAGCGGCTCACAGATCTCCCATTCAGAGGGGCAGACATCGTCTGCATGGGCGGCCGTGAGGCCTAGGAAAAACAGCAGAGAAAGAGTGGACAGACGCATTATAGCGGCCAGGAGAGAAAAGAATGACAGTAGCTGAAGGGGGAGAAATAACCAAGAGAGCTGTCAGGGGGGGCTGAGAAGATAATGGAATTTCACTAACTAGTCAATAGAAAGAATATAATTAGAGCTCAGTCACTAGTGGCCACTGCTGCCAATGGGAGACGGCTGTAGTCGGCTAAAATGCCTTAAAACCCCCTTCCCTTGTTATGTAGGATCGCGTCTCATTTCTAGCGTTGTATATGATTAGTGGTTGGCAGAGCACGCTATAGAGGACAGTGCTTTATTCTATTGCTCTGTGGAGTACAGAGTAGAGAAGACCTTCAACTATCTACAAGAATAAAGTAGTAAAAGCTTACTTTGATCGCCAAGAGTTGGTCTCTACAAGCCCACTTGGCTAAATATTGAAGCTCCCCTATGTTGAGTCTAAATTTCATGGTGATGTTTCAATATTCTCATAAACCCTAAACCCTAAACCCATGGAGGAAAAGAAGCAAAGGAGGACTTGACTGAGGAGTCCTAAATATAAAGCTGAAGATGCTTACCGCGTACTGGGAAAAGAGCTAAATTTGAGCGGCGTTTCATCTCTTCATTCATATTGCCCCAGGGTTATAGAATGTTTTACTATAATAGAGGTATTTTACCCCTATTATATACCACAATAGATCACCATAACTCTTGATTCTTATTATTCACTATATATCAACAAAGTTCATGCAATGCCCACACCAGCCACAGTCCTTGTCGCATAGCCCCCAGCTATTACCCTGACCCATGTCCATCGTCCAGCTGGTATATGGGACCGACTGGCGATAGCTGCTATGGCCTTGATAGCCTGATCCCTTCTGTTTCTTCTTTTGTTTCTCTTTCTTCGCGATCTGCTTCTCCGCCGTAGGAGCGGGTTTGGTATCTGTACCTGACTCCCGCACAAACTGAATACTGTTCTCCCATCGGTTAGGCGTTTTTAGTATCGGCTGGGGAGGACTAGGGTCCGATGTCTGTTGCCGTATTGTCTCGTTGGCATGGTTTCCTCCATGTACAGCATTGATATGTTGATTCAAATCTCCCGGGGCAGCAAACATTCGAGTGCATAATGCGCATGGAAGGGTTCGTGGACGAGTCTGGTTCGACATCGTTCAGATGAATAGCAGCAATGGGAAAGCTTTATTATAGAATGAAGAAAATAATTCAACTAATATATTTCTTTAATATTGATGAAGGAAAGACCTCGGATGATATTTAAATAGAGCTACCCCGCTCAGCCCCGTCTTGACAGGAACTTCTATCCATCCAATGAGAAGATGCATGCAGTTGGTGAGACATATGACTAGAATAAATATGGCTGTAGACAACTGGAAAAGTATACCATAAAGCTTCCGTACACTGCTCTTCATGCAGGCATTTTGCTCGCAAGTATTGACGATTAAATGAGCACCAAAGTCAAGATCCTCCACATAGAGACCCTGGAGTTGTGTGCTGTAGTGTTGTGAAATGACTCAATACCGCTGCGACCTTTTCAACAGCGACTATATCTTCCAGGGGGTCAAGAATCTTTCCTTCTATCAATTCCATGACAATATAACCCCGACCCTGCTCATCGGAAAAGAAATCATACACGCGTGGAACACGAACTATGCGACTATCCAGAAGTTCGTAGGCTATCCTTTGATTCTCTGCTTCTTCTTGTGTGACATCTGGACCCCATTTCACCACTTTGTCGTCGGATACTCTGATGACACGCTTCCCATATTGACTGACGACATTTTCAGGTACCGGATTGGCGCAGCAGGCGATTACCGAGGCTCGTTGGCTGTTCTCAAGTGCCATCTCTGAGAATTGAAGATAGGGTATAAAGAGCAATCAAAGGGCTCTGCATCAGGGTGGGGGAGGTAAGTAAACATAACTAACTACTCGGGTGCTTACTTGGTTATTAGTCAACATCAGTAACTACTAACTAAAGCATCAGGCTAGGATATATAATATAGGTTCATTATCGTCGTAAAACAAAGTTAGATGAAGAAAAGAGAAACACAATTTCCTGTCAGAGCATGCCTATGACCTGTCGAGTATTTTGAAGTATTCTCGTTTGCAAAACTGCAAAGCTTGTGATCCCAGCTTCCATGAAGCCCTTCTGCTCACTTTCTAGAAGTCGTTCCTTTGCAACAACCTCTTTTCCAACCCATAATACGGTTTGCCTCTCAGGAGAAAACGCAGGCCACCTCGAACCGGGAACCCCCTGTTTGATGAAGGATCCGTAAAGCTGACCGAAATTGGTTGAAATCCGGGCGATCTCATCGTTATCGACTCCATCAAAGCCAGGCCACATTATCAGATCCTCATCGGTATAGTTACGGAAAATGAATGGGACATCGCCCGTATGAACAGCTCGCAAATACCCACCCAGGCCCGGCAGGTCGTATGAAAACTGAAACACATATACCGCGAATCCCTGCTTGGCGAAATTCGTCGCGATGGTCAGGGAAGAATACTTGAAGAACTCCATGGACATGATGTCGCTGGCGAGATGGCCGGGTGCGTGGGTTGGGTAAAGATCCCGGTATCTTTTCCACACTTTGCGTGCTTGTTCCTGCCCAAACACCTGCTCGATGATAGCCAGAGCATCGGCCTCAGTCCCGTTTGTCATGGTTGCTGTATGACCGCGGAAGAACTGCCACTCATCCTTTGCGAAGCCGATCATCAGCTCGAAATCCGGACGGGGATATACCATCTGAGAGAGCGCCAGAGCAGGTGTGTCGGGGATGAACTCTCCATCCACAACACCTCCTACAGGGCTCCAGGCAATATTGGCATCTGCAGGGAACTGGCGGCAGAGAATGTTGTGCACAGCCAGAAAGTAATCCGGGTCAATTCCATGTAATTTCGTTGGATCGTGTTGGATGCGCAACAATTGCAGATACCGTCGAGCAATCACCGCCGCCTCTTCTTTCTGCTGGGTGCACCACACATTGAACGGCGACAGGGACTGGATGATCGCACGTCGAACAAGCTGTTGAGTGCCTGGATACGTCAGGAGATGGGAGACTGCCGTGCCGCCCGCCGACTCGCCGCCGATGGTGATGTTTTCTCTGTCGCCTCCAAGGGACTCGATATGGTCATAAACCCAGCGCAGTGCGGCGATCTGGTCTTGCAGCCCTAAATTCGTGGCCTCGGGGAACTCCTCGGCACTGATCAGACTGAAATGCACCCAACCAAGCGCCCCCATCCGGTAGTTGGGCCGGACGACGATGATGTTTTCCTGTCTGGCCAGGTTTGACCCTCTCTCGAGCCTGAAAGAGCCCGCACTGACTGAGTTGGCACCGCCGTGATAATACACATACACCGGCAGTCTCTGGCCAGGTTTCATGCCACTGGGCCGCCAGATATCGAGGTAGAGACAGTCCTCACTGGTGACATCCTGGTTATAAGTTTTCCCCACATAGGCTGGCCAGGACATTACTCCGGGCACGCCTGGATCAAGCTCTTCGATGAGACGAGAAACCCGAGCCAGATTGCTGCTGTTGATCTGGTAAGAAGCAGGGCCGGACTCGGTGGCATCGCGAACTCCATCCCAGGCGATGGGGACAGGAGAGCGAAAACGCCGATTTCCAACAGGAGGCTGGGCATATGGAACGCCGTGGAAGGACAAGACCTCGTCGCTGATCTTGCCTTTGAGAGCACCGGATGGAGTCTGAACAATGTTTGTTTCCATTTATTACTGTCTTGGTGATGATAACTCTATTGATTGAAAACACCTGTGATAATCAAAGATGGTATCAATATACCTTTATATACCTTGATATTGCTGACCATCGGGGTTAAGCCATCGGCTTCCGAACAGCCCCGGACGTGGCGAGGGGCACATAATAAATCTATGTTTCAGTCTACTTGACGGAAGATTGATAGGCAGATATAATTAAATCATTTTATTAGTATCATCTTGAAGTGTTGTCTCTACGGAGTAACAGCGTTACACTTGTATAATCCACGACTCGCATTATTACTTGATAGACTCCATATCAACAGCCATGATTAAGTTAGAATGAAGGTACAAGGTATGAAATAATATTTCTAGTGCAATAAATCAATATTCGCATATTCAAAACCTCCAGTCATTGCCTCTATAACCCCTGCTGTGTCTCGGACTTCAGAAAAACCCCTCAGGCTCTCAATATGGACATGATGCACAGTCTGCGCATCAACGCCCCCTTTACCAAACGCCCTTGTCGCGTCTTGGATGAGAATAATCCGGGGCATGTCAACCACCAGCTTATCTTCCTCTCCAGCATAAACACCCGCCCCGTCTGTCCATCTCTCCGACGCCGCCACATCCTCCATATTTCCACGTCCGCCCCATTTGCCAGTGAGCGCGAGATTCTGCGCTGTACGGACGGCTGTGCTGACGGCCAGGTCGGTGCCCATCCCTGCAATCAGCAGGGTCTTGATCCCGCGGTTCTTGAGAATCGTTTCCAGCGGGGTGTTGATGAAGACGCTGTGGCCGTGGCAGGTCATGATGATCTCGTCTGGCGGCTGTGTCGGTGCAGGGCGAGAAGACGCGGTTTCATCCAGACTGTAGATAAGAGTCTTTGCCCCATCTCTGAAGACTTGCGGCGCCGCAAATTCCAGAAAGTCGATCGCGCGTTGCTCCTCGCCGTTGGCGCCGAATGGACCGGTTTTGCTTACGTGCAGCGGGTGGTCGGTCCAGACAGGGCGGTACTGAACATGGATCATCAATGGGCCTTCGCCTTCTGGGCTTTTGGCGCAGATATCTCGGAATAGACTGATCAGAGCGCTGATGTTCTTGTCATAGTCGGGAGTAGAGGCCCCAGTGCCCCAGGCAGAGATGTCGCGGAAGCCCAGCTGGTTATTAATGAGGAGTAATGCCGTGGTATTCTTCCGAGAAATCGGTGGGTTGTCCGAGATGCTGTATCGTGACATCTTTATTGAATTTATCAAGGTGTTTATAGCATGTAGTGAAAATTTATTATGGAAAGGATCCTTGGATTAAGTGGCCATCTTGAATAAATATGAAGCTTAACTCCTTTCTCCGACTCTTAACTTCATCTAGGCCTAGTGTTATGAGCTGGCCTGGAGAGACGGATGCCTTAGGCAGGGATGGTGAATGGTGCTTACCAGCCGCCTTCCCTTTAAGGATGTTAGCTTTGGGATTGGGATATTGATAAGCATTTTCTAGTGAATGAATATTTATTTTATACTTCTTTCTTTCAGTAGAGACTGGAATTAGGAATTGGGTGATCTTTAAGAGTGTCCTCTTAATGATTTGCCTGTAGCATAGCCCGTGGAGTTGGAGAAAAGGAGGATGAGAACTGGCCAGCTGTCCAGAAATCACTAGATGACTGTGACTATAAGATTAAGATAATCTAGTAAGACTAAATCAGTGGTCCACCATAGTGTATTAATTTTCATATAGGGTATATTTTCATACTAGAGATAATTCTCTACTCTAACTATATACTTGCCATCAGGTGGTCTATACAATACCCCGCAATAAACAAACCACCAAGCCCCACTGAATCCTCTCTTTGAATCCTATTTTGTTGCCTGTCCTTAGAACCTCATCACTCTTTCTTTTTCCTCTGATCTTCCTTTTCCCTCCATTTCTTAAGCTGGCTTAACCAAACCTTCCTAGTAATGACTTCCCGAAGGGCCCTTTTCGTCATTGATATCCAGAACGAGCTTATTGCTGATCCTGACACCCGCATTCCTACGTCCGAGCGCATCATCAAGGCATCTGAAGAGATCCTCAATACTGCTCGGGAAGCCCTTGGTCTTAACTCCCCAAGAAAATCACCCCAAATCATCGTTTTTATCCAGCATGAGGAGTTTCCACCCGAGGGGACCATGTTGAGAGGCAGTAAGCCTTGGGAGCTCTTCTTTCCCCCTCGCCCCAGCCAGGAGTACGAGATACTAGTCGCAAAGAGTACAGGTATATACATATACAGAATACATCCATGAGGAGCACTGGCTAAGGTCATAGCGAACACGTTCGAGTCAAATCGTGATCTCGCCCAGAGGCTTCGCGATGATGGGATTACTGAGATCGTGGCATTTGGCCTTCAGAGTGAGGGATGTGTGGAAGCTACATGCACAGGTGCTCTTGCTTCTGGCTTTGGTGTGACCGTTCTCTCTGGTGCACATTCAACCTATGATAAAGATGGGAAAAAGGCCGCGGAGATTGAGCGTGAAGTAGAGCTGCGCCTGTCCACTCGAGGCGCTCGTGTTGTTCCTTGGGAAAAGGAGATTTCCGCCTGGCTGCAATAGCTCATTGATATTCGCACCCCGCTGGAGGAGATCTTGACCATGTCATAATTTCTGGCTTTAGTAGCAACTGATCATGGTGTGCAATTATAAGAATCATGATAGGTGTGATCAATGTTGCCAAGTGATAGGTATTTTACAGTCTTCATCTGACATTGTCCATCCGTCATTGTCAGGGAGATTGACATCTGCTTCAGCCTTGACAAACTCTTCAAGGATGTGGACTTGTCCCAACTGAGCCTGCGATAAAAGTGTGCACTCTTAATCGTCTTTGCTGTTGATATTCCCCTGGCTCTGAATTAAGTCTAATGGACCATTGCCATGGCCTTTACACTCAGACTTTTGTGGGTATCACCAGATGCTTAGTTGAATATATTATTTAGTAATAAACCCTACCTGAATAATATAGGATTTACTGTATAGCATTATTTCCTATAATGACCTGATTGAAGACCTATATTAGGTATATATCAAACCCTAACCCTAACCCTAATCAACCCTAACCGATGATACACTGATCTGCAGATCAACATAGACTAGTATCGGCATCCCCTATTAGGCAGTTCCGAGATGTCACAAAGTAAAGCCATAAATAAAGCCATTCTCCCATTTCATCCCCAAAACATTGACTACAATGCAGTTGAAGCCGTACCTGGCCGAGTTCCTCGGAACGGCTCTATTGATAGTGATCGGCGATGGAGTCGTCGCCCAATGTCTGCTGTCCGACTACCAGTATGGCACCTGGCTGTCCATTAACCTGGCCTGGGCAGCTGCTGTGTGTCTCTCCGGATACCTGGCCGATCCCAGCCCAACCATCAACCCGGCAGTGACCCTCTGCCTGGCCCTGGTGCGGCCATCACCAACAACAACTGGCAACTGGCGAAGAACCATCCCGGGCAAGCTGGCAGCGCAGTTCCTGGGCGGCTTCGTGGGGGCTGCCATGGTCTATCTCAACTACCGCTCGGCCATCCACGCCTGGGACCCCGAATATACCATCCCCGGCGGCTCGATCCTGAGCCCGAGCGGCCATCACTCGGCAGGCATCTTTGCGACGTATCCCGCCGCCGTCTTCACGTCCAACTGGGAGGCTGTATTTTCCGAGCTGCTGGGCTCTGCAGTCCTCATGTTTGGCTCGCTGGCCATTTCCGATCCGATCAACGCCCGTCGCTTCCCTGCGCCGCAGATCTCGCTGTTTTTGCTTCTGTTGATGATCGGAGCGGCCTTGGGCTGGCAGACCGGCTACGTAAGAGACATTCTACTCCTTCTTGTGACGATATATACTGACCGACAGGCGCTGAATCCTGCTCGCGACTTGGGCCCGAGACTCTTCTCTGCGATCATTTACGGGCCGGAAGTGTTCACGGCCGCGAATTACTACTTTGTCGTGCCCTTGTTCGCCCCTATTGCGGGCTGTCTCATCGGAGCCACGACCTACGATGTGATGCTGTTCGAGGGAGACGGATCTCGCATTGCAGATGCTTTGGATAAGGGTGCTCACCTACGACTGGAGTAGAAGATAGACGAATAGAATACAGGAATAGGAGAGAACAGCTAATCACCCCGCATGAACCCTTCGACAAGCGTCTGCAGTCCATCAGACACTGCAAACTCCTTAGGAGCCGGCGTGAGGCTGTAGAGCCGGTTCTTTGTGTTTCCATCGGCCACAGGCTGCATCCATGTCCAGGTCCCGGGAGGAGAATCAATAGGGAGGGTAGCATTACTAGGAGTATCACTATCCGAAGCAGTGGTTGCTGGTATATCTCCAGCAATCAATAATGGCCCGGCACGGAGAAGAGTCTTCATGGCTTTGATGTCCCGGTCGAGCGCCCATGGAGGCACCGTCAACGTAGTGGTAGGGAGGATGCCCGAGAAGCCATGGACGCTCTGGAAGGGATCGATCAGGGCGGCGTAGACCTGCAGCCGGTCTGTATGTGCCGCGGCAAAGGCGTCGGCAGCCTTGGAGCTGTATTCTGTCGGGTTGATCCAGTAGGGATGGAAGGGGATGTTCTCTGCCTGGAGGAGGGAGTCTGGTGCAGGGGTCTGCCCCGGTGGTTGCGGATCGCCATAGACTGTGAACAAACGGTCAAAAGTGAAGCTATCCCCACTCGCCGGCGCATACGCCACCAGGCCGTCGTGCAGACTCTGTCGATCGCCGAGCTTCAGCGCAAACTCGTAGTCCAGCAGACTCTTGTCTGGCATCCCCGGCTGGTCTGTCTGGTCGCGCATCGGCCGCGTGGCGAGCTCCAACGACCAGCCCATCGAGACCAGCGCCAGAGGACGCCCGATCAGCGCCGGCTGGGAGTCTGCCTGGCCGGGGGTATGGTGGATGTGCTCGTTGGCATCAACCACCATGTCCCAGACGCGTCTCAGGAAGGCTGACGAGACCGCCAGACGGGCCATGAACGCCGTCAAGTCCCGACTGGAGGTCTCCGGGATGCCTGCCACCACCTGGCCGTCGCTGTCCATCCACCGCCGCGACGAGACGAGGATCTCGCCGCAGAAGGCGCCCTCGCCGGTCAACACCTGCAGACTCTCGTCCTGCAAGTTACACACCACCCACCCCCAGACGGGCGACTCCCATTCCAGCAGCTGGCGCCACGGCGAGGACGGGCTTGTGCCTTGCCTGTCGGTCGTTCGCGCCACCCACGCCGCGTTGAAGCGGGCATCCTGGTTGATGCGCGGGCCCAGCTGGAAGAACTGGCAGCGGCCCTCGGGCTCTGCAAGCACGGCGTTGGCAAACGCTCGCCCCGGCACGGTCTCGTTGCGCAGACAGGCCAGATCGGCGCTGACGCTGGGGTAGATCGGCCGCAACAGCTGGCCCGGCCGGGGATCGAACGCGCACACCACCTGGCCGAACTTGTCGATGAGGTTGAGCTTGGTGAAGCGCACCTGGCCGTGGGTGACGGGGTGGAAGAGCGGCTCGCCTCCCCTGCGCGAGACCCCCTGCACGGGCAACAGGGCTGTGTACGGGGTTGCGTCGGCGCCTGCACCCGCCGCCAGGAACTGCAGCACCGCCGAGTGGTCGTGGACAGCCAGCCGGGGGAAGAGCGTCGCCAGCCAGCGCGAGGGGGTGTCGTTGTCCGGCGTGGGATTCGGCAGGGCGTGCGTGCCCCGGACGAGAGTGAGCAGATGGTCGGTGATGCCGTGCAGCTCTGCGCCGAGGACGTTGCGCAGCAGCGCGGCGAGGGCCTTGTCGATGGCGTCGCGCTGGCCCTTGGGCAGCATCTTCTCCAGCATCTCCGGCCTCGACCGGTTGACCACCTGCTCGACCAGCGTGGCCATCGCTTTGGCGCCCTCGGGGAGCACATTGCTGCGGCCGCTGAGCCCCCGGGGCTGCGCTCCCAGCCCGGCCACGTCGACCGTCTCCTTGATGCGATACTCGACCGTCCCCGAGGCCGTCTCGTGCAGCGTCCAGTGCTGGTACGGAATGGGGAAGTAGTCGGCCTCCCACTCGATGAACAGGGGGAACCACGCCTGGCCGGCGTAGTCGCTGGCTCCCGGCATGCTCCATCCATGCCGCAGATCGTCGACACAGGCATGCACCCACGACGGCAGGCTGGCCAGCCCCGTCTGGAACAGCTGCCAGGCGTCGTCGTGGCCCGCCGGGTCGTCCAGCCGGCGAACCTGCGTGTTGAGCCGGACGGGGATCGTGTCTGCTGCGAACTCCTCCGGCCAGCTCGACTCCATCTCGGACAGCAGGATCGTTGGGTCTTTGGCGCTGAAGAAGCACTTGCTGGCGATCTTTTCCACCGGGCTGTCCCCCTGTAACGATCGGATGTCGTCCTGCAAGGCCGCCAGCAGCCCTACAGACCCGTCCTTTTCACGCAGATGCAACGTCAACAGCTCTGTGAGAATCTCTCTCGTCCGGCTGCGTGTCTCGGGCAGGTGTTCTTGATACCAGCTCTGCATGCTCTCGAAGCCGTCATCCTCAGCTGTAGATCCATTGCCATCCCATCTATCGGCGAACCCTGCTGCCCGGGCCTTCCACCACTCGCAGAAGAGCAGGTGCTGCAAGAGGCGCGAGTGTCGCTGGCCGGCGTCGAGAAGACGCTGTGAAGCGTTGAGTTTGTCAAGAGCTGCTTCTGCCTTGGCTTTAGCATTTTCCTGGCTTTCTCTAGATTGAGATTCTGCTTACCTGCTTGAGCTGGTTGAGCTGCTTCACCTGCTTCACCTGCTTCAGTGTCATTTCGCAGCTTCCAGACATCCCCCCCATGGACAGGCTTAAACCCCGACGTCTTGCCCTGCTGCGTCTTGCTGTCGTCCTCCGGATCGGCCGCGAGAACCTGTAGATGGCGAAACGCGGCCGCCAGCGTCGCATCCGCATGGTCTGTCTTGGCCGGGGCTTCAAAGATGGCCGCCATCGCGTCGACCAGGTCCGTTCCGATCGCCACAGGATGCGACTGGGCGAACGCTTCCGCGGCGTCATCGGCAGGGACTATTGCCGGCCTGTTCTGACGTGACCAGCGCAGATCGACTGTGCCGTGGCAGAGAGAGCGGATCGGTGCTCTCGTCGCCAGCCATTCGGCATTGTCTTCCTCGAGAGCCATTCCATGTGTGGAGAGGAGATCGGCGTTGGTCGCGGCCTCACTGCTGGCAATGGGATCATAGCCACGTAGAGCATGGTATCCGATGACCTGGTAGGACACCTCGGCCGACTCCAGCGTGCACAGGGTATTCGTTTCTGCTGAGAAATATGTCAGGTCGTCGTGCACGCCAAACACGTTCATGCCGTGATGCTGGAAGTCGGCGAACAATAGATTCGCCGAGTCGGTGATGGTCAGCGGAACGTGGAAGTCCGCCAGCGTCGTCTCGTCCGCGTCATCAGTCAACTCTTCTCGCCATTCATCCAGCTTGTTCTTTGCCCCGAGCAGCACACCGTGTTGGGTGTCTGGCGTGCCCGTGTGGTCCACAAAGGGGGCCGCTTCGGTGTCGAGATCCACGCCGGCGAGCTCATCCCGGTTCAACCTGCGGATCCGGTTGCTCTCGAGCATGAAGCCTGCATACTTGGGCAGGGGGGTGGTATCGTTGATCCTCCGAATGATCACCCATCGATCAGGAAGGGCCGTGAACTATCAGTCAGTAACCCTAAACCCTAAACCCTAAACCCTAAACCCTAGGCAGAGACCTACTTCTGAATCACCCTTGATCCCCCTCTTCTTCTTGTTGGTCTCATGGGCTGCCTCTGCACTCTCTGTCGCCATCACACCCGCCCGGAACGGCTTCGGGATCGTCCAGTGCAGATAGACGCCCAACCGGTCCTGCCGTGCGACGCCCGTGTCGAGATCCGACAGTCGCGCATTGATGCTCGAGGGAACCGCCGCGCGCAGATCCAGGTGCGGGATGGCATCGTGCTGCAGACGCGCTCCAGGCTCGAGTGAGGAGTAGTCTGGAAGGGAGAAGGGCGCGATGAAGGCTTTGCCGGTGTTGATCAAGGACTCGTTGAGCTGGAAGGCGTCCACCTGGAGGGGGATCACCACAGCGAGGGGCATGGCTGCTGGAGTCTACACTTGGGAATGAAGTGCGATACAGTCAACCAGAATATACTTGGATTCAGAGTCCAGCTGAAATCCAGCTGAAATCCAGTTGAAGTCTAGACAAGTCTACTCGTAGAGTAGTTATAACTATAGGCTCGCCTATTTTACCTCACATCAAGCTGGTGGCGTTGTATTGTTCGTATTATACAGTATGTACCGTATGTACTGTACTGTAATACACCACAGTACATTACATATATACGCTGCCCCAGCAAGATCCATATACTCCGTCCACGAGATAATCTATCCTCAACTCTACTTTCTCCAACATCCTCTAATGAAGCTGCACTCCTTCTTTGAGCCTGGGCTTCGCGCCAGCGACACCCCGTACACGTTGACGACGAGACAAACTCTCTCCAGCGGAACCGAGAGTTTCACCAAGCCGTCCTCTCTCACGTTCACCGTCGACGCCCCTCGATTCTCCATCCCCGCCAGCGAGATCCATTCCGTGTATCCAGCGCCAGGATCATCGGAACACGCTCGCGTGCTGCCTCATGTGGTGCTGAACGATCCCCAACTGCCGTGGGAGCGCGCCGTCCCCGAAGACAATGACAAAAACCTCAAACGGCAGCCTTGGATGGCGCTGTTGGTATTCACGGCCGACGAGCTGCAAGCAACGCCCTTGCCAGGCACCAAGAACACGCCGTCGCCCACGCATGGGTTGTCGGCGAGTGTATCGCAGCTGGTACAGGCAGACCAGGCACAGGCTTCTTCCTTTCGCTGCCCTAATGTCAACAGCCACGACGCGAAAGACGAGACGGCAGTGACGTACATTATGCTGAAGAAGCAGCTGTTTGAAACGTTGATCGTCAAGAATAAAGCCATCTTCAGCTATTTCTCCCACGTCCGTCGGGTGGATGTCACCGGGAGCGCCCATGTCTCGGACAAGCCCGAGGAACACCCCTTCAGCGTGGTGTTCTCACCTCGGACAGGCCCTGTAGAGGGCAAAGATCAGGCTGTCTACGTGCATCTAGTGTCTCTAGATGGAGTCGCCGATAACCTGAAAGACCGAGTGTTGACTGCAGACGTCCAAACCGTCGGCTTGATCTCTCTGTACGCCTGGTCGTACCGTATTTGCCCGGGGGATGAGATCAGCTATCGCGACATTCTCTCCAATCTGGACAAGGATAGACAGCCTCTCCGTCGACCAAAGGACTTGATCGAGGGCCTTGCAAAGGATGAAAACAACGCATGGCTCGTCGAGAGATTGCAAGCAGGCTACACGCCGACCCGCCACCGCACGCTTACCGGCGAGACAACCGTCGCCTTTTACAGAGGCCCCCTGACGCCTCTATACATCCCCCCCCGGCAGTGTGTGCCCACTACAGCCGGGAGAGAGCTGCAGATTCTCGATCCACGCACTGGGATCATGGATGTGAGTTATAGTGCGGCGTGGGAGCTGGGTCGCAACCTCGCCATTACGGATAAGGCGTTCACGGCGGCGATGCTTCGTCTACGCAGTGATATCATGGCGTACGCAGTCAAGGATCCGGAAAGGGAGAAGAGTAAAAGCACGTTTGCTGCCTTGGGGCGGAAGCCTGCAAAGCATAATCTCTACAGCGGTGTCTATCGATGGGCAAATACTAAACCCTCAAAGCAGGCTTCTACTCCATCGTCTTCTGTGGATTCCGCTCTTCAAAGCCAGGTCAGAGAATGGCTGCAAAGAATGGCAGATAGCCAGGTCCAGGCCGAGCTGAACAATACAAAACCCACGGCGTCAACCGACTGGATCTTCGTTCTGCAGTGGGTGCAGAGGAAACTGGCGCTGCAAGGCATCCCAGCGCTGTATCTCTTCCCCGATCCTGCCGTTCTCCCTCTTGAAGCCTTCCGAACATTCTATGTGGATGAGAACTGGACCGACGCCCTTGTCGACGGCGCCTTGAGTATCGCCAACCACTCCCTCGGCGAGGATGGCATCAAACGCGAGATCCGCAAGAGCTTCAACGTCTACTTTGATGCGATCCAGAAAGAAAACCCGGCGTTGGCAACCGCCTGGCGGCCTCGATGGGGGCTCATCCTCCGCAGCCAGCTGGTGCGCGCGTATCCCAACCTGCGGATCGAGAGAGAAAACAACAACGTCGACGTGGAGGCGGCCTTCACCACGCTCACGGAGGATACGCTGATCTACTACCAGAGCGAGACGCCCGAGACCACCAAGGACACGGCGCTGGTCATCTCGCAGCCCTTCCATCACCAGCGCTTCTCTCTGGGCGATGACCTTACGGCCAGCAGGTTGGAGATGTCCTTTAAATTGTTCCGGACGACGGGAGACGAAGCCAAGGAAAAGGAGCAGCTCGATGGCGCCATCAACCTGGCCACCTGGACGCCGGGAAGCACGGCGTTGTTCAAGTGCAAGACGGATGCTTTTGACGACATCACCTTGGGAATCATCTACGACTGGACCACGCGGTGCATCGATATCAAAGAACTGATCAAGTCGTGCAAGGAGCTCAACGAGAGGGTCATGAAAGACCTTTGTGTTGTCCAGGAGGATTCAGCGGCGTATATTGGGCTACAACTGAATGATGAGATCCTCATGCTGCGGATGGACTATGAAAGGACTCAAGAAGAGGACTCCAAGCCGCGTCTCTTGAATGATCCAGACATTTTGACTTCACAGACTTCCACGCCAGGCAACATGGAGAAGACGGAGAAGAGGGTTGAAAAGACAATGTTCATTCCGGAGCCTGCCCTGATCAACACTGCTCTCCTCCCCCCTGTCCATGGCTTCAACCTCGACTCTCTCAAAGCAGCCGTTCCATTTGTCCCTGTCAATGAGCCTGTTGCCTATAACAATCTGCAGCCCATCACCACCTCACAGCTGTCCAAGATCTGCTCACCTCTGCTCGCGCATCCACGGCGCAATTTCCCTGCCGGCGCCCCCATCACGCTTGACATCGTCTTCAGCATGACGGCCATCACTGACGTCCGACAGGATCTGTACCTCGGTGAGGTGGCCGTCTACATCCCCATGGGCGAGATCAACAGCAACCTACTACAAGTGAAGGCTACGCGACCAAAAGCACGCATGATCGGACCAGGCAGATTATGGAACATCACTTCACGTCTGGTGAAGGGGAAACGACACCGCATCAATCTCGAGGGCGACTGGAGCATGCAGGACGCCGTCGACGGACACGACCAGCTGTATCTGGGCGTCACCATCTCCGCATTACAAGACCATCCCCTTCATCTACTTCGACACGGACAGGTCAGCTTCCTTCTTCAGGAGATGCAGATCAACCCGTTGCCCTGTGAACGAGTGCCGCTGCTGGTTGAAGAGGCGTATTTCAGAGCGACGGATGAGGGAGAGTACGAGGACGTGGGAAGGGTGAAGACGGTGGTGGGAGTGACCAAGGAGGATTGTAAGTGGGTGTAATAGCACTTATAAATGTCATTGTATAGGTACCTAGGTATACCTAAGTTAACCCTAGGGTTAGGGTTATACCTGTGGGTAACCCTAGGGTTTAGGGTTACGATTGGGCGACTCCCAGGTATAACCCTAACCCTAGGGTTAACTTAGGTCTACCTTGGTACCTAGGTACCTAGGTATACATTCCAAACTAGTTCCTACAGAACTGTACATGCCTCTGATTATCGTTCAAGTCCCCCAGATATTCTGGTCCTGTAGGAATATCATTTGAAGACTGTTTGTGAGTAGTTGCTGCTGGGTGACGCGCATTTTGTGCTCTACCACAGCAAGACGTAACTTCAACGCAGCCAATTCCTCATCGCGCGTTGGTGCGGCGCGAGGGTCTGCAAGCTCCTCACCATGGCCAGTAGCTGCAGGCTGCGTCTGATGGCCAGTGGCTTCATGATCGTCACCTGCTGCGTGATGCTGTCCCCCAGCCGTCAGCTCTTCACGCATGGGGAATTCTGTGGTTGCAGGGCCAGCTGAAGTGGTTGGATGGTCGCCCATCTCTACCTCGGCGTCGTCCGGGATGGTGAGATAATCCTCCTCCAGCTTCATGACCATGCTGTTCGGTCTGGCTTCGTCCTCCTCCTGGATGACAATCACCTTGTTCTTACTCTTATCCAACAGGTCGGCCTGTTCTTCCTCCGCGCCCACGGTCCAGTTCTTGTCCAGGAAAACAATGTCCGGCTCCAGATCCGTCATGACGGGCACATTCAGGTCGGCCTCATCGCTCGATTGGCCCGTGGCAGGCGCAATGCTCGGCTTCATCCCCTGGACACCGTCCATCTTCATGTTCGCGTTCTGGTTGTTCTGCGCGTGGGTGCGGTACATCTTCAGCTGCGTGTTCCGGGCGTCGACATAGTTGAGCCAGTTGTCGATGATCTCGACCCGTCCGTCGAGGCCGTCGTGGTCGCAGCTGCGCGTCCACAGGTAGACGGCCTTGCGCACGTCGGGATTCTTATTGTGCTGCTGGCCCCAGTTGCCCTGCACCTTGGAGATGTACAGCCAGTACTCGGCCAGGATCGTCAGGAACAGGAACGGTTCGGGGCTCGCGCCGCGCGGGTGGAACTTGGCCCACGGCTGGTTGCCGACAAACTGATTCCCTGCCTCGGTGAGGGTATCCCAGGTGATGCCTTTGCCGAAATCCCTCGCATCGGCGGGTGCCCATTCGCGGAACGTCTTGCCTTCCTGCGCGTAGGGCTTCTTCAGGATCTCCGTGCGCCTCTCGCTGACCTTTCCCGCTCCCTGGGTCAGGATGTTGAAACTGTCCTGCCATTTGACCTTGAGGTTCACGTTGAAGTCCTTGGTGATAAGCTCCACTTGGCTGCCCTTCTTGTTGTACTTGTAGCCCTCCAGGTAGTATGGATAGCGCAGGGGGAAGACCAGGCCCTCCATGTCCCTGCCCTGGCCTTCGGTGATCTTGTTGTTCGTTACCATGTCGGCCCAGTAGGCAAAGAGCACCGTCAGCACCACCCAGCCTAGAGTCAGTCAGTATGTGGGTGAACCTAACCCTAGGGTTAGTAGGGTTAGGGTTCGAGTGTAACCCTAGGGTTATTAGGGTTAGGATACGCACTGGGATGGCCATATTCGAATCCAGCAGAGATCAACACCTTGTCAGGCTGCAGCTTCTTCAGCACCGCCGGCGGCGTGGCCGTGTAGGCGCCGTGATGCGACGTCTTGAAGACCCGGACAGTCGTTCCCGCCATCCATTTCGCCAGTCTCTCTTCCGTGTTCTTGTCCGTGTCCCCCCCGTTGAAGTACGAGACTCGACCCTTCTTGCCGTTCTCTGCGCTGGGCGGCCAGACGATCAGCGACACGATTGAGATGAAGTTCTCCAGCGTCTCGCCCACGGGTTCGCGCAGGTTTTTCATCTCCTTCTTCTCCCCCATGATATAGCCCTCGGCGCCGACAATGAGAAACACGGGCATCTTGTCATCTTTCAACTGACCCATCACATCCTTGATCGTGACATCTGTGCCCCCCTGGGCGTCTGAGCGACCCTCCAACGGCGTCTTGTTGATCGGAAGACCCGTGAAGACGTTCATCCCCCAGAGGTTCTCAAACCTCTCGACCAACTTGCAGATGCCGGGCAGCCAGTCCAGCTCCTTGTATGACCGGGCGCTGATCCCCGTATAGATGCTTGTCGAGGAGTTCTTGACCATCACCACCTCGACGTGGTCCCCCTTGGCGTTCTTCCCCAACCGCCAGTGTCGTCCCTTGGGGATTTTGTCCTCGTCGGTCTCCGACAGCTTCGCCGTCGCTGAAAGCTTCTTCTTGAGCCTGTACTCCGTGATATACTCCGTCCGGTCGTATACCGGGCAGTAGAGCGTCGTCATGCACTCGCCAGTTGCATCGTCGTACTTGAAGTACGTGAATCGATGGCGGCTCGGGTCTTTCTCCTCCTTCACTTTCCGGTCCTTCCTGTACTGTTCCGACAGATCATTCACAATCCACTGCAACGTCCCGCAGAAGTGGTCGCGGTCCCAGTGCGTCACCACCCAGGCGTCAAACTTGAGCTTCACGCCGTACCGTTGCTCAATGTCCGTCACCGCCTCTTTGATACTGACGCACGCATCCTTGCCCTTGAAGGTGCCCCCGGCCCCATCGTAGCCCCCATCCACCAACACAGCGCTCACGATCTCGGTCTTTTCAGGCTTGGCGCTGCCTATCTTACGATAAAACACCGCGTTGGCCTTTTCACTGCCCTGCAGGTCCTGCGTGAACGTGGCCTGGTTCTCCGGCGGGTTACTGAGCAGCAGATGGATCGAACAGTCGCCGCCGGGAATGGCCACCTGGTAGCTCTCCACGGAATATTTCACATTAAAGGCCATCACTGCGAGATAGTGAACAAAGGATAAGAAGAGTAGAAGAGAAAAGAAAAGATGAAAAGATGAAAAGATGAAAAGATGAGAAGATGAGAAGATGAGAAAGATGGTGAGAAAGAAGACTTTGTATGTACTGTATGTACTGTATGTACTGTATGTACTGTATGTACTTATACTGTACTGTACTGTACTGTATGTACTTATACTCGGCTCAAATTGCTCAATCGGACAGTCCTTCAACCATCACACACTATCGAATGCTAATAGATTAGTTAATGTGGAACTACAAAGCACATTGATCAGCTGGCCTGAAGAATCCTCGGCGCCCGCAAATAATACTCCTCCATCCTATCGATATAGCGCACTGGGGCCGCCACGCACGACGCGAGCGCCCCCCAGCTGGCGTTGGGGGCCATGTTCGGGGCGTGCGCCGTGCCAAAGGCAGGTTTGTCCGCCACGGCGGCAATGAAGGCCTTCAACGCGGGGAGGGGGTCGATCGTTGGGGTTTTCCAAGCCTGTCGAACCGAGGTGAAGCCATCGCCGGCGGCACTCGGGGCAGCGCTTGTGCCGCCGGCCTGGGCATCACCGCAGACCAGCTTGCCCGACAGTTCTGCAGCACGGCCGAAGAACTTTGCATCCAGCTCGGGCAGATCATCCTGTGCTTCGACCGGCTGGGGAGCGACCAGCTGTACGCCCATGACATGCTGGATGGTTTGCTGCGAGGAGTTCAACGTAGAATTGGCGTCATCTATTGATCGTCAGCACTTAACTTAACCCTAACATAACCCTAAAGATCAGTCTTACATTTCCCCCACATGGAAGACGGAACCTGGTTCTGGACTAGAGAAATGGTAAACTCTCTCTCTGGCTGTGGCGAGATGCTGAATTCGAGCTTGGACACAAGAGTCGAAGTGTTGAGCTGCATTGGCCGACTGTAGATCGGAGTCCTGCTCTCAAGGGTCTTGCCTGCATACGTCGCTGTCGAGATGGGCGTGCGAGTATAGACTCCTAGAGTCAGCCCGGAGCTGCGAACAAGGGCAGTGTCGTTTCTTTTGTCTTTGCAGTTGCTGGGCTGCTCCTTGCTAGGAATCAATCCTCCCTCGACGGCCATGACATGGTTCTGCGAGTCCGGCGCGTCCTTGGAGAGCATCTTCCAGAACTGCTCCAGCGTCAAGGGGATGGCTTCGGGGACAGAATGGCCAAAAGCGACATGGAAGCTGACGACATGGCAGTCGAAGCTGGCCGTGCCCGCCATGGGAGGCCCGTGGAGGTCCAGATCGGCCGACAGACTGAAGCCGAGGGTGGTGGACAGCCATCCACGTCCAATCTGGCAGGAGATGCTGGCCAGGATGCTCACGGCGGCCTGGTAATGCAGGGGCTCGAACTCGAGCAGGAAGTCGGCGTGTGCGTTGAAGTGTGCTTGCAGCCGGCTGAGGGCAAACACCACCTGCATCGAGGCCCCCGCCATGATCGCCGCAGGCGTGACGGCGTAGTATGCGCCGCCGGTGATGCTCAGATGGGCGTCGTACGCCCACGAGATCCCCAGCCGTGCTGGAGCGGTTGGGTAATGCGCCGGTATCGAGAACGCGGGATGGAACCCGCCCACGGAGAAGCAGAGATCGCCGCCGTGGCTGGAAGAGGCAGGCCAGACGGCCAGCGTGAAGCCGCCGGTAGGATGGCACGCCTTGCTGAGCAGGAAGGATCGTGTGCTCAGGCTGCCCTGGATGATCAGCGTGCCGTCGGAGAGGTCGAGGGTGGCCTTGAGCCCAAAGTCGAGCAGGGCAAACGCTTTGTCGACGCTCGCCGACTGCGGGATGATCGCCGTCGCGTCGGCCACGATGGCTAATACTGGATCCCCCTGTGAGAGCTGCAGAGACACGACGGCGGTGATGTCGACCAGCTCAAAGGCTCGCAGCTTCAACCCGGCGGCCAACCATAGGGCGTCCACCTGGGGCACGACGGTCTTCCCGTCGGTGAAGGTGGTCAACGTTGTCATGGGGTCGCTGGCGCCGCTGTCTTGATTCAAGATGCCGATGAAGGGGAACTGCGAGACACCCTCGACGGACGGCAGGTTGACCAGCGAGTTATACCCGAATCCGGCGGCGATCCCGTTGATCTCGGCGTAGCCAAAGCTCATCAGGGGCCCTGTCAGAGCCCCGAAGATGAAGAACGACTGGAATGGCTTGCTGTCGGCCGGCGTTCTAGGTGTGACCTCGCTGTAGGCGCCCACAGCGGCGAAGCTGTACGTCTTGAAGCCCAACACGACGCCGCCGGCATAGGTGTCCGCCGAGACCGCATCGGACGAGCTCTTCTGGTGCAGGAACAGGCCGGAAATCTCCAGCGGGCTGCGGTCGTAGGCGATGGCGAGCCCGTCCAGCGACCAGCTGGGCTGGATGCCCGCCAGATGCGGGAGTTGGGCTTCAGACAGGTCAAAGTGAAGCGCAAAGCCCGTCATCGCCATCTCAATCGGGCCCAGGCGGACTGTCGCGTTGAGATGGACCGTCAAGACGTCGTCTGTCATCTGCAGGCCGACGTTGGAGATGGTCAGCGCATTGCTTTTCTTGCTGATGGGCGTCATTTCGGACGCGGCATTTCCTCTTTCTTCTTCGCCTTTTTCTCCATCTTCACCTCTTGCTTCTGTCGTCTCCTCTGTCTCTCCAATTGTCCCCTTCTCTTCTGTGTTTCCAGTTGCTATAGCCTTGCTCTTTGGCTTCCCAAACACATAGTCAATCACGACTGTCGGTTTCCCGTCTTTGTTCATGGCAAGCATGAAATGGAGTCCCTTGCTCAGCACGACATCGGCGGCCTTGGAAGTCTTCCCTTCCCGGTACATGATTTGATTCTCCCCCTGGTATAGAATCGCGTTGAGGATTTCAATCTGGCTCTTGGTAAAGTCCTCTGTTGTCCAGATGAACCCGATCTGGTCAAAGGGCTGGGGTATATCGCCGACCAGGGGGATCTTGGGAACGGCTGGGAATTCGTTGATAGAAAGACGAAGAAGTCGAGAGGGAGAGGCAGGAGAAGCAGGAGAAGCAGGAGAAGCAGGAGAAGCAGGAGAAGCAGGAGAAGCAGGAGAAGGCAGTTGAGCAAAATCAAGATGCAACGAGGAGAGGCGGACTTCAAAGCCAAAGACGACACCCACGTCCGCTGATTTACTGATAGTCAAGGAGATGGCGTCGTCTTTCAATTCCTCAAGGGGTACCTTGACGTTATTCACAAAGTCAGGGAGAAACCTCTGCGCATCAACACCGAGCAAGCGTGCGACAATGTCCTGGATAGTTGTCGTCCGGTTGGCTTCTCGCGAGGATTTGGATTCCAAAGAGGCGACAAACTGCCAGGCGCCAGAGCTGTTGTGCTGAAACATAAACTGCAGCAATAGCCCGCCGACAACCAGATATCCAGAGATGGAGAGCAGCCGGTCTACCTTGCCGCCGCAGATATAACTGATGACCAGCGCCGGGAGACGCACGGCTGGCATCATGCGGACAATATCGTCGCGCACCTTGTCCGGCAGGAGGGAATACAGGTTTGCGGACGACAGCTGGCTGGCCGACGCCGAGATTGTCCACATGGAAGACGCATACGAGAGTTGCATGGAGAGCGAGGCGGGTGAATCCGATGATGCCAGAGCGGTCGAAGTCGGGAGATCGACTCTGGCTTCAATGGAAAACGTCATGGAATCCTTCTGATCGACGAGATACCGGAACTTGATGAGCAGCTGCGTCTGCTCTGGAACCCTCCATTCCGGCGAGTCGGTGCTGGGCGCAGACTGAACCACCGCGTCCAACGCGATCTCCGTCGTGGAGAGCGTCACGGCCAGGACGACGATCTCCTTCGGCACCCACGAGGGAATCTCCGCGATGGAGAAGCCGGGATACAGATGCGTCAGGCTCAGTTGGGGCTGCGGCGAGGGGCACCGCTGGATGTAGATGGCGTGTTTCTCTTCCGCTGGGTTCAGCATCCTCGCCATCGTCATCTTGGCTTGGGCGGCTTGACTGGCGTCGATGCCCGGCCAGAACCGGCCGTCGAGGGAGATCTTGTTGGTGATCAGCGACCATTGGAAGGTGAAGAGGAAGGCAGACCGGCCGGAGGAGACGCCAAAGGGCGTGTCGGCCTCGAGAGTCATGGAGATGGAGGCCAGACGGCGGCTGGCGATGGTGAGGGAGAATTCATGCCAGAAGACACTATCCTTCGTCTCTGTAGAATCTTTGGTCTCCGACGACGCTCCCAAATGCTTCTTCAGACGTTCCTCCAAGTCTGCAAACACAGTATGAACACTCGACTCTTCCAGCTTCTGCTCGACATGATCGGCCAGCACCTTCAGCATCGCCTGGAACCCAACCTGCCCTTCATTCTGGATGGTGTACGTCGTCCCGTTCACGCCGAGGAATACGTACAGATCCAGTTTCGCCTGTCCGAGGGAACTCGCAGCAAAGGCCACCGAGCCGGCCAGGAAGACCTCGCCGTTGACCTCTGGATCTGGGCGGAAAAAGGCAAACTGCGCCGTCTTTTTCACTGTCACGGAAAGCGACACCTCGGCATGCTCGGGGAGATAGTCCATCAGCGCCTGCGGGATTTCCTTCGGGTCGAGGTCGAATTCCAATCGGAGCACTGTTCGGCGCTGTTTCGCGAAGATCCAGAGGCCGTTGCGAGGGCTCCCCGTGGCGGCGAGTTTGACGGATACCAGATTGAGGAATCTGCTGGCCCATGGCGAGATGTGGATGTCTGCCAACTCCACCAGAGACTCAATGGTGATGTCCTGCGTAGAGACGTCTTTGACACCAAACACAATGGCGCCGTCATGCCCGAAGAGCTCGAGACCGGCGTCGGGGGCATCCCAGCTGCCGAACTGCCTCTGGAGGACATCCCTCGCTGTAGACAGGCTCAACTGGAGACGTGCCGGGCCCCTGGCGGGCGCTGGATGGACGAGATCGCACTCGATGCTCTGGACGGCCACATTGCTGCTATCAGGAGCAGATCCCGTCAACGTTACAGTCGACGTGTTCACAAACTGAGCCAACCAGCTGGCTGTGGTGTCGGTCGCAGCGAGCGTCGCGCTGAACGGTTCGGTGGCAGAGATGGGGGGAGCCTGTTGCAGCTGCCAGGCCTGCAAAGGCAGCGCCTGGAGATAGACAGCCCCCGCGGCCGTCGGGGCGAGGGAGAGCCTGGGGCCTGTGGAATCCGACTCATCGCCCGAGACACCCCCCGAGAACGGCCGAATGGACGCCATGGCTGGCTATGGAGTATTCAGCTGTGGCTGTCCACCAGCCCAGAGCAGCGGGTAGCATCGCTTCTATTATTTTCGTTCCGGCGCAGCCAGCCCGGGCGAGCCAGAATAATCGACGGTCTAGAGCCGAGGCAAACCTCTTCAGCTGGTCGAGACGAGAAACCACTTCTGCAGGAACAGCAATTCAACGCGACCCGCTTGGGGACGTGCCGGGCCGTGCGGGAGCATCGAACAAGGACCGATATCGTACCGTATTACCGCCAGCCGTACGGTCAGAAACGAAATACGGGTACGTTTCGTGGAGCCTGGATACGCGGCCTTCAGCTGGCCTCTCGCTGTGGCTCTGGTGAAGCAAGGCAAGGCTTGCCGAGGAGAAGTATATAACATCAATAATCACCAACTTTGCTCCCAGAATCATTCACAGACATCGATATGGCTGCCCTGGGAGACCCCCAGGCCCTCTCTGCGCCAGACTCCCCCTCCCTGGCAAGCGCAAGACCCCTGCAAGACCCCTGCTAACGAGACCCCCAGACCCCACGATGGCCTTGGTGCAGTCGCCATGAATGGCACCAAAAGTGTGAGGAGCATTCTGGCTGCCCTGCCCATGAACAAGAAGCTGAACGGCACCGCCCCCGGGCATGCCCCGGGCTTGGGGCCTCCTGTGTCGGGCCCTGTACCGGGCCCTGCACCGGGCCCTATGCCCGCCATCCCCGGGCTGCCGATGCCCAGCTTCCCGGTGCTGGGCGCCCCGACGGGCCCCTGGGAGTCGCGCTCCTTTGACTGCCAGAAGCCCGTCCGCCCTGTGCTCTTCCCCGAGGCCCCCGAAATGCTGCCCTTCCCCGTCGAGCTGCGGGATCTTGTCGCCTGGACAGATGCGTTTGTGGAGCGCCTGGGATGGATGGCCTTGATGGCTCACGAGGTATTTTCTTTTTTTTTTTTTTTTTTCTTTTTAAAAAAAAAAAAATTCTTACGATGATAGAAAACCGGAGGTTCGAGAGGCATCGAGCCGGACTGGGAAAAAGAACGGACCGACCTGCTGGCGCAGATCAGCGGGCTCACATCCCAGGTTCATACTCTCAATGACAGCAACGCCTATCTCAACGGGGAATGCACCCGGCTGCAATGGGAGCTGGACACGGCCAACAGCAAGCTGGAACAGGCCAAGAAGGATTACAACGTTCTGGAGCAGGAGAACAAGAAGGTGACAGCGGACAAGACCCAGCTTCAGATGGAGAATGAGAAGCTACAGAAGGACGTGGAGGCGTGGCATACCAGCTACCTCGCAATGCTCGGCGAGCTGGGCGGGGATCAGAAGATCATCGAGCAGCTGAAGGAACAGCTCGCGCAGGCGCTGCAGCAGATCCAGCAGGAGCACGCGGCGCAGCAGGGTATCTTTGACCAGCTCAATGTGAAGATCGCCGAGCTGGAGGCAATCATCAAGCAGCACGAGGACAAGATCAAGGACGCCGACGCCGCCGCCAGATCCGCCGAGGCCATCACCGCCGCCGTGAGGGCCGAACTCCAGGTCGCCATCGTGGAGCGCAACCAGGCCCGCGCCGAGGTCCAAGTCCTGCGCTCCCAGCTGGGCGGCCTGCGCTGGCAGCAGGCCCAGTCGGAGAGCAAGGTGGTCTTGCTGGAGCAGAAGATCGTCTCCCTCACCGAGGTGAGCGAGAAGCTGAACCTCCAGCTCCAGGAGACCGACGCCAAACTCAAGGCCTCCTACGCCGACACCCTCAACGCCTACGACCACGCCCGCTACCACTGGACTGTCCTGCAGCAGGTTCGCGAGGCTGGTAGCTGGCTGCGTCGCCCGGGCGACCATGACCGCTGTGAGGATCCTTTCCCGGGCCCTGGCGCCCCCGTCACCGGCCCTGTTGGCGGCCCGCTTCCGGGGCTTCTCCCTATCGGCGTCCCCGGGGAGCCCCCTAGCATGCCCCCGACCGGCAGCCCTAGAACCGGGGGAGGTCTGTTTCCCATGCCCATGATCCAGCCTGAGCCTACCGACCCGGCTCCTCGTGGCCTGCCACATGTTCCTCTGCCTCCTTTATCTGTTTTCAATAATCCTGCTCCTGTTGCTGCGGAAGAGCAAGTCAAGCCTGCCGAGCCTGTTCAGCCAGTTAACCCCGCTGAGCCGGTCCCTGCTCAGCCTGAGCCTGCTCCTGCTGAGAAACCCGCCGAGCCTGTCGAACAATCCACAGAACCAACCGAACCAGCCAAGCCAAATGATCCTGTGAATCCGGTCCCTGCTCCGGTCGAAAAGCCAACTGAAGACACCAAGCCAAATGAAGAACCAGCTGAGCCAGCTGAGCCAGCCAAAACACCAGAACCAGTCAATCAGCCTGCCCCCGAGGATCTTCCCCCCCCTCAGAGTCCTGTAAGGTCTTCCCCTGACTCTGGCCGCCAGTCGCCCGACTTCTTCCGCGGTCCTGGGGGACCCGGACCTCACGGACCGAGATTCAATGGCCCAGGACCCCATGGACCAGAAGGGTTCCACCATGGACCGGGACCCCATGGTCCAGGACCTCATGGACCTCCAGGATTCCCCCACGATGGCCCCCATGGTCCGCCTGGTTTCCACGGCCCGCAATAGATCTGAAGCAATTCATCTCTAGCTGGGTGACTTGCAGATAACCTTTCCGTCATTCTATCATATTCCTTATTTATGTCTTATTTATCTCACACATTGTCTTTTCCTTTCTTATAACTTTTCACTTCCCTCTTGACATGTCCTATAACCTCTTATATTAATCAGATTCAGTATTTCTCGGCTTCTAGGGCTTTATCTATTACATCAATATAAAGGTTACAGTAATACCTTACCAAAGGTTTTCATATAACAACTTGATTAAAGTACTGTCTAACTCTAGCCCATCAACAACTGCATTAGAGCCTTCAGTAAGCTTACTATAAATAGTTTGAAAATATTGGGTGCCTTTTTAAAGGAGCTTATCACTATCTAACTAGGATATAGTATAGAACCATCTAACTAGAAGAGAATTCTAAAACTAATCAGCAACTGTGTCAATGGCAATGTGAAAGCAATATAGAATACCCAAAGACTTTTAATAAGGCCTAGCTCCTTTTTGAAGGGTAAGACTTTAAGGGTAAAATAACCCTTATCTGCACAGCAGCTGAATAAAGTTTAGAGATAATATTACTTCTTATTTAGTATAAGGTTAAACATGATTAATAATTCTAGAAGTGCCTTAATAGAGGCAGCGCTCTTTAGTCAAGTCGACAATATAAAGATTCTCCAATATAGCGCGGACAGAAAGACTAAGTATGATGAAAATTAGCTAGCTATTGATCTTAAAATAATTATAAGAACTGACAAGAGAGATACGCCTGCGCTAGAGGTGACTTTATACCTTCATCTAAAAGACAACTATGTTATATTAAGGACACATCTCAAAGAGACATTAACAATCAAGAAATTATACGCCTCCTTAGTAGGGAGGACTGGAACTCCAAGATTAGTTTTAGGAGCTCTCTTATATTATGTAGGGCAATTAAAGAGTATCAAATTACGCGCAGCTGGGAGATGGTGGCGTGATTAGAGTAAGATGGAAATTCTCATCCATTGGCGCAATAAGTAGATGGTTGTATGGTTTAATTTAATCCCTCAGGGAAACTGTCTTTCACATCTTGGAAGTAGTGGGCCATCTCTTGCCTTACATAGTGAGGTTCAGGCAATACATGCCATGCAGAAAACAGTTAAAAGCATAATTTATTAATCATATTTTCCTCTGACAGGACAGCCTCCAGACTCGGAACTAAAGGGAAAGATTGAGAAGGTAGAGGATAAGGTCCAGGAATTTCTTTTAAGCACTATGATAGGACACGCAGTGGCGTCTTTTAAAGAAGAACCTAGAACATGAGCTATTTGATGGGGAAAGCGAGTTGGAAAACTTGACGAGATCAGGGCTCTAGAGCTGCAGCTTAAAACAACCTGAACCAGTCAGTTCCTTCATCCCCAGTCCTGGAGGAAAGCCGATTGAAGATTCTGTATCAGAGACTACAGTATACACCTTTGATACTGTACATTGATAAGGAATTATATCATTACTATATAAATCTACTGATTGGATGTGACTCCATATCAAGTCAAAGAACTTGGGTAGTTTTGATTATTAATACTGGATATAGATTATAAACTACAGAGTATCAATAATATCAATCTATCTTCTAGGTTAGGGTTGGTAGTGCTTGCAGTGAGACTCAATCTGGATAAAGATATTTGCACCTTTAAAGTATAATATATTAGTCACTTGCAGCCTGGGCTATACCTGGACAGCAGTTTAAACACTTTCTAGGCATTCTCGTGAATGTCCCTTGCTCGGACATTCATCTCGTCTGCAACTGCGAAGCTACAGGGCGCCGGCGCCCCTGGATAAGACATCAACCGGTGTGCAGCTAGCTGCAGCCGGCTGCATGGGATACGGATTTATGACCTTGGCAGTGACCGATATTCCGCTGCTCTATACGTATTCGGCTCTAGAACCTTGGATAGATATGCGGGGTTCGGAATAACACCGGGCTTGTATAGTCTGCAGATCACGGAGGTTACCAATGTCCGACACCCGATAGGTGAATTGGGAGCAAAGCTTAGAGTTACTCTGCAGTAGGGCAAGACAACAAGTGCAGATCATGCCAGTAATGGAATAATCGACGATGTTACGCCCGCCGACAAACCTCCGCACGCTGCGGCTACGGGGGCGGGGGGCGGAGAGTCCGGGAGACGATTGGGTATAAAAAGGGCCACCAGGATACAGCAGCGAAAGAGAATCAACTGCTCACCAGCATCGACCATGTTTCAGTATCTCCTCTTGGGCCTGGCGATTGCCGGCGGAGTGCAGGGCCGTGCTCTGGGCACCCGCACGAGCAGCGCCAGCAGCTCCAGCTCGGTGGTGGCCTCGGCCGAGTCGCCCACGATCTACATCGACACGTACGAGAGCACGATCCAGGGCAACCGGTCGCAGTACATCAACTCGGTGTACAACTTCAAGGCGATCCCGTTTGCGGCGGCGCCGACGGGCGAGTACCGCTGGCGGCACCCGCCGCACGTCGCCAGCTGGACGGGGGTGCGCGATGCGACCGAATTCGCGCCCGACTGCCCGCAGCCGGGGGTGAGCAACTACAGCGAGGACTGCCTGTACCTCAACATCTGGACGCCCGACACGGCGACGCTGAACGACGTCGAGAAGAACACCGAGGGCCGCGGCATCGGCGTCGTGCCCACCAACACCAGCAGCAACCTGCCCGTGTACGTCTGGTTCTACGGGGGCCGCTTCGGCTCGGGGTCCGCCAGCCAGGCCCTGTACGACGGGGCCGGCCTGGCCGCCCAGGGGGTGGTCGTGGTGACGGTCAACTACCGCCTGGGGGCCCTGGGCTTCCTGGCGCACCCGGAGCTCAGCGCCAACTCGTCCAGCGGCACGTCGGGCAACTATGGCCTGGTCGACCAGCAGGCCGCCCTGCACTGGACCAACGAGAACATCGCCTCCTTTGGCGGCGATCCCAGCCGCATCACCATCGGCGGGCAGTCCGCGGGGGCTGCCTCGGTGCTCGACCACCTCAACAGCGCCCTGGCGGACGATCTCTTTGAACAGGTCATTGCCGAGAGCGGTGCCACCTATCCCTCCAACCCGCTGATGGGCAGTGTCGCCGAGGGGTACCGCCATCTGGCCGAGGCGGAGGAGCAGGGAGTCAGCTACCTGACCAGCCTGAACCTCAGCAACATCACCGAGGCCCGCGAGGCCCCCGTCGAGCTGTTCCTGGCGGGCGCCTGGCTGGACGACGACGTGACGTACCAGGACACCGTCTTCGCCAACAACTCGGTCTACATGGCCCCCCCGCTGTTCCGCCCCGTGCTGGATGGGTATGTCCTGCCGGCGACGTACCAGGAGATGCTGGAGCGAGGCAACCACACCATCGCCCCCGTGCTGACGGGCGGCAACCGGGACGAGAACGGGGCGACGCCCAACCCGGGCCTGTCGGTGGCCAGCTATACAGCCCAGAACGCCTACGAGTTTGGCAGCGTCGGGCTGGCGGACGAGTTCTTCGCCCTGTACCCGGCGGGCGACAGCAACCGCAGCGCCGACGTGGCCAGCAACACCTTCTACCAGGACCAGACACGAGTCTCCGTCTGGCGCTGGGCGAACGAGTACGTCGCGGGCTCCTCGTACAACACCTCCGGTAACGGCACGTACCAGGCCTACACCTACTACTGGACGCATGCCCCCCCGGGACAGGATGAGGGGGCCTACCACATGAGCGAGATCAACTACGCCTTCAACAACCTGTATGCCACCGACAAGCCCTGGACCGAGGCCGACTATGCCATTGCCGACACCCTGTCCAGCTACTGGGTCAATTTCATCCGCACGGGCAATCCCAACGGCGGCGGGCTGCCCTACTGGCCTGCCAACTGTGCCGAGAACCCGGTCATGATGGAGGTGGGCGATGCCTGGGAGCCTATTGAGGTGGCCAGCAAGGAGAAGCTGCAGTTTATGGACCGCTGGTTCTCCAACTGGCCGGTCTATTGAATCACCAAAACTTATTTCCACCTTATTACACTCGTATATCAATACTAAGCCATCTTGATTATGCCAGTGCAATAGACTACACTATTACTTAGATGTATCTATATTATCATATTCTGTAGATAGGAACTCCAGTCAACATAAAAGATAGGATGCTCTCTACTTGAACATAGTGGCTGATACTACCTGCTTAATGGTAGTGTCTGGCATGTCGTAGTGCGTCAGCATAAAAGTGGGAGACGGCGAATTATCGGTCTTGAATGCGGGGAAACCGCGGGGATGCCGTTTGTGGGGAAGCACGTTTTGGTTGTCGGACCCTAATAACCTCCGTCGCGGGTATATAATCCATATCAAGCAGAAACACATGGATAGGATCAAGCAATCAACAATTTCCCTCATGTTCGTCCTTCTCTTGAGCCTCGCTGCCACGGCCCAGGCCGCCCTGTACGACACGGTCATCAAAACCAAGTATGGCCTGGTCCAGGGCGCCCCCGCGCTGAACAGCACCTTCGGCTCGAACCTGCCCGGATGGGAGAACATCACGGCATGGAAGGGCATCCCCTATGCGAGCCCCCCGACGGGAGAGAACCGCTGGCGGATCCCGCGCGACCCTGAACCGTGGGACGGAATCCTCAACGCAACCTCCTTTGGCGATGCGTGTGCCTTTGCCGACGCCGTCGAAGACTTCCCCCAGAGCGAGGACTGTCTGACGGTCAACATCTGGACGTCGGCCGAGTCGACCGACGAGAAACGGCCCGTCATGGTCTGGTCGTACGGCGCGACGACGGCGGCGCGCATGAGCTGGTATGACGGCGGCGGGATGGCCTCCAAGGGGGTGGTGTATGTCAGCTACAATTACCGGACGGGGCCTTTTGGCTGGCTGTCGCTGCCGGAGCTGAGCGACGAGATGGAGCCCTTCTCGGGCGTCAAGTCGTCGGGCAATTGGGGATTGCTTGACCAGATCCAGATTCTCAAATGGGTACTCCTCCTCCTATCCTCCTATCCCTACCCTTATATAAACCCTAAACCCTAAACCCTAACCCTAACCCTATACAAACCCTAACCTCTCTAACCTACTCTCCAGGTGCAAGAAAACATTGAAGCGTTTGGCGGCGACCCGAACCAGGTTGTTCACGCCGGCGAGTCCTTTGGCTCGGCTGCCTCATACCACACGCTCAACAGCCCGTTGGCCAAAGGCCTCATGCACGGCGTGATCGCCGAGAGCGGCATCAAGGACCCCTACGACCCGGCCACGGCCACCTTCGCCAACGCCTACTACAACCTCTCGTACGCCTACGACTTTAGCCAGATCTACATGGACAGCCTGAACGTGAGCTCGGTGGCCGAGCTGCGCAACCTGACCACCGACGAGCTCATGACCGGCACCGGCGTCGATGCCTTCTACGGCTTCGCCCCCGTCATGGACTACTGGGCCATCCCGAGCACATACGAGGGCAGCGTGCGCTGGGGCCCGCAGAACGACGTGCCTCTGATCGTGGGCAACAACCACGACGAGGACGGCGTGCAGCTGGGCCTGAACCTGACGGAATCGACCTACATCAACGAGACGGAGACCACCTACGGCGCAGACGCGGCGGCGACCTTCCTGGCCTCGTTCCCGGCCCAGAACGCCTCCAGCGCCGGCGACGCATACAACGCCATGCAGCGCGCCATCTACACCACCTCCACCTGGGAATACTGCGACAAGTTCACCAGCTCCGCCCAGAGCCCCGTCTACTACTACTTCTGGACGCACTCGCCTCCGGGCCAGACCGAGGGCGCCTACCACGGCTCCGAGGTGTTTTACGTGCTCAACACCCTCTACGGCGGCGAGCTGCCCTACACGGCCGAAGACTACGCCATTGCAGACTATGTCTCGTCGTATTGGGCGAACTTCGTCAAGACCCTCAACCCCAACATCGGCGGTTCCTATACCAACGGCTCGCTGACCTTCTGGCCCGCCTATTCCAGTACAGAGAACGTCCAGTTCGAGATCGGTGATGCCTATGGCAACGTCGAGGTTGCCGACCAGGATGTCATGGATGCCGTTGACGAGTACTTTCACTGGGCTATGCCGGATCCCTGGTAGAAGTATTATCAGTGTTCACCTATCAAATAATGATTACACATTTCACTTTAGGGTAATAGAACTATATCAGACTGAATGCTAAGTATATGAAGTATATATAGGTGACATCAGTCTTTAGAGCTAAAGTACTATTGCAGGAGGTGAGAAGTATGACACTCCAACTTTTATAAATACATAAAGGAGTTATACTTAAAAAGATAAATAATTCATTTAGTATCTACATCAAGAATATTGATATCAAAGATTAAGTCAATATTTTATATTCTACATTTTCATATCTTCCAAAAGATTTCATTTTTAAATGGGTTGGCGCAAGGTGACTAAGGTCACCTTATTAAATGTTGCAGAAAAGGATGACCTTGAGGCTGCCAATCAGGATGATTCACGTATATTTACACTGTCACCTGACTAGTTAAGCCTAATATAATTAGTATTATACTCTAATTTTTTATTTATTAGGTATATCTAGCTTAACTAATATTAAATAGGCCTAAGTATATAAATTATATAAGAATATAATATTATTAACCCTAAATATATATAGGATTTATTAAAGTTATAAGCCTAATTAACTCTTAATTATTATTATATTTATCTATAAGCTTTAAAGACCTACTAAAGATATA